GTGGATTGAGCTTTGTCCCATGGGCTGAGAGGTCCCGGTTCCATTACCTGTCAGGGCACATACCCAGGCGGTGGGGCTCAGTCCCCAGCAGGGGGCGTGCAGGAGGCAGGCGATCAATGTTTCTCATCCATGTTTCTATCTGTCCTTTTCTCTCTAAAAAAATCAATGAAAACATATTTTTAAAAATGAAATTATTCTGATTAAAATCATTTTGTTTTAGGAACTCTTCTGACTTGTAGGTCACTCTTCTGACTCTGAGTGCCTCGCAGGCCACCATTTGTCAGGTTGCTGAGGGCAGTGCGTGCACATCTGGGCAGTGACAGTGTGTGGCCATTGGGTCACTGAGAACAGGCCATGTGTCTTTGACTAGACCATCCTACTCGGACACTCTTGCCTCAAGGCTGGTAGATCCGTAATTATTTTTTAATTCTAGTATAGAATGTGTATGATTCATTGTTCTAGATTTTATTTTCCTCAGAAACTTCCATGCAGAGAAATACTAGTTGGTGGTGTTAATTGGGCTCTTTTGGTTTCAGCAGGTTATTTTAAGGCATTTGTGGGTGATGATGTTGATAAAGTTAATAGCACTTTACATATATTTAGTACCTTGAACTTTGCAAAGTGCTTTCACATTCATTATCTCATTTTATTGTCAATTGGACCGTGAGGTTTAGAACGTTGATATTATTACCATTTTTTTTATGGCTGAGGAATCCGAAGCATGGGTGTCTAATGGTGAATGAGTGATAGTTTTCTAGCTGGAGGTTTCGGGGTTCATGTATGCAAAACTGACTGCTAGAATAAGGAGGGAATTATTTGTTAGTGCTTCTGGTCTACTAACACTTGATCATACAGTTCAGTGGCTTTCATTGGGGGTGATTTTGGCTCCCAGAGGTCATTGGAGATGTCTGGAGAACCTTTTGGTCATCAGTACTGGAGACATCTAGTGGGTAGAGAACCAGGGACGCTGCTGGACACTCCATAGGCACCAGATAGTGCCCAGAAGAGGATTACCCCCAGGTGTCAGTAGTGCTGAGGATGAGAAACCGGGGCGCAGCTGTACGCTGGTCTTGGATGGAGGGTGAGACAGACCCCTCTTTGAGGCGAGAGGAAGGTGAGGGACAGATGTTTGGGTCTAGAGAATGGAGGTGGGAGATGGAAACCCAGAATCAGTATCCTCAGAGAAGCTGCCCTGTGAGCTGGACTTGCAGGGCACCTAGCAGAGGGAGCGAGCCACTGTGTAGAAGCCGGCAGGTATTAGACGGGTGCATTCTGGGGTGTGGAGCAGAGCATGTGGAAATGAGATGGGGAGACGGCTACATGCTTATGAAGGGCTGTAGTTCACCAAGTCAAAGAGTTTGGAAGTCATAACAGAATTTAGTAGAGGCTCTGAGATATTTTTAAATCAGTGTTTGTTTTTGTTATTGTTGTTTTTAAGGTAATAGAGATTGACTCGCTCTCTCTAATGTTGGGTGGATACCTTTATGTCAAACTGCTCAAACTCGAACCCCCTTTAGTTCCTTCCCCCAGGCTCCTTGTCAGTAGGTGGCACTGCCAGGTGTCAATTGGAGTGAGGCCAAAGCTCTAGAAGGCAAGCACCCTGTGTGTTCTAGATGGCAGAGCACACGCCCTGTGAGGTGCTCACCCTGCTTACTGCTGCCTCCTGGTGCTGACCCCGGGGAGAGGCTGCCCAGTGGATCTCAGCCAGGAGTGAGTGGGGACGGGCCAACTCTCCATGACAAGAGTGAGGGACACACCCAGTGAGGTTGGAAAGCATGTTCAGGCCAGAGGCAGTACCCAGTGGAACCTATCATGATGCAATTTCCATTCCATCCCCCCATTAGTGGATTAGTGGTGCTGATGGAATTGGGGACAAAAACACATTAGTCATAGAACCTAGCTAAGGTACTTAAAAAGCAGTGGCCTGAATAAAGGATCTACAGTTGTTTTCCTAAATGCCCTTGAACGTGGAGGACTTCGTGTTTGCATGATGGTATTCATACCCCAGCACGGCTGGTGCCCTGAAGCAGCTGGTGACAGCAGAAGCAGGTTGGTCTTTTTGCTGCATCTCACTCTCCAGGAGGGCAGGGTCTCTGGGGTGAGAGGGTGGGGTTTTTAGCCTTTCATCTGGGGAGCAGCTGGTTTGCCAATTGTTCTGCTGCTGCTTTAATACCCCTGTGGTATTAGGGCAGTACTGGAAATGGGTCACTTATCCCTAAAAGGAAGCAATAGTAGTTTTCAAGAGTTGTTTTGTTTCCTTGGTAGTTAGTTACCTGCTGGGCTAACCCAGTATGGAGCTTTAGAAAGACAGACAAGGTGTGGTCACTTGAGCGTTGCTGTTCCAGGAAGCAGTGTGGTGACGCGGAAATGTCCAGAGTCAGCAAAGGTTGTTCCCAGGGTGTCCTGTTCCACAGCTCCCAGCAGTGGGGAGTGAGGTGACAGAGATTACCTGCCTGCTGAGAGTTTTTCTTGCTCTTCAAAAACTTGCCCTTAATGCCCATAAAATAACAAAAGAGATGGGAGCTGAGTCATACAGCCCCATAAAAGGAATGGGAGTAGAAATCTGAGTTCCCTTATAGAAAAACAATTTAGATTTCCCGTGTCATCAAATATGGTAATGGACTCCCTGGGATAATTTATTTCTAGCTACCAAACAAGATGCTTTTGGAATGTTCAGAAGGAGCAGCACAGCAGTTGTTAGAGACATCTACCATTGGGCATATTTGTGAAAGGAGAGGATGGTTGGAGAATACTCTTCTGACAGGAAGTTCTCTTTAAATTGGAACCAGGAGGTGACTGAGCCTGTTCAGGGCAGGTGGTTATTAAGTGAGGAAAATCTTTGTATGTGTAAGGTGGATTCCAAACACATCATTTAAGGCTTCTGTGCCTTTTCCATTCTAGACTTAAATTGTCTTCATTGTATTAGTAGTCAAGGGCATTTAAAAGCCCGAGAAAGGCCCTGGCCAGTGGGTTTGATGGTTAGAGCATTGGCCCATGAACCAAAGGGTCTCGGGTTTGATTCCCAGTCAAGGGTGTGTATCTGGTTGCAAGTTTGATTCCAGACCCCACCTGGAGCGCATGTGGGAGGCAACTGGTTGATTTGTCTCACGTCGATGTTTCCCTCCCTCTCTCCCTCCCCTCCAGTCTCTTAAAAAATCAATGGAAAAAATATCCTCAGGTGAGGATTATTAACAAAAAATAAAAACTCAAGAAAGCGTTCTATATATTACAGTCAAACTTAGACTGTTACAGGGGCCATTCTCAGCCAAGGGCCACTTGGATATTTATAACATCATTCATGGGCCATACAAAATTATCAACTTAAAATTTAGCCTGCTATATTTGGTCAGGCTAATTTGGTGAAGTGTATGTTAGCTGGTATACAAGGCCCTTGGGTCGGACATTCTCCACCCCTGATTAGAATATTATAAAACTGACTTCAGATGTCAGGACTTGTTTTAAGTTTTAGAAGGAATTTATTTTACAAGTGCAGAGTGGTGGTGCCTCCCTGAAGTGAACGCACCACCGTCAGTGTAACTCACCCTCCTCGACGGCAGAGCACACGGCTAGCCTTTCCCGAGCTTGAGTGCGCAGGCTCCATCCCCTGGCTCTTAGTTGTTGGTGGAAAACACAGGCAAGTAAAATGGAAACCAGAACAATAGGTACTAAAGCAAAAGTCTCCTCAGTATATGGGGCGGGTGAGGGTTTTCCTGACAAGAGAACTGCTGAGGCAAAAGGCGCTAGAACCAGGAGTTGGGTGGGCATCTGACAGGCCTTCTTGGGGGTGTTCTGAAGAGCGAAGCACGGTTCCAGCCTGAAGGTACTAAAGAGCCATGGAAAGGGTTTGTTGTTCTGCTCCCTTTCGATGCATGTGAAAGCTACCATAAAATACTGAGTTAGCAATGGATCCTGCTGATCAAGCATACCCATGAGTATAGCTCCCAGGTAGCGGGCCAGAACACCACCAGCGCGTGATGAGTCACCCACCACCAATATCACTGATGGGTGATTGCCCGGTGCTGTTATAGGTGACTCACATCACCAGCTGCTCTGTTCTGGCACTTAGCTGAGCACGGGTCAGAAGCTTAGAGAGGAAGTAACTTCCAGGCTTCTCAGGTTGTCAGGAGGGGTCAGTCCTGGTCTGGCTCATCCCCAGGGGCGTGTATTCCTGACCACCACACCGGCACTCCCTCCTGGAGAATGGTGCAGATGCTTGCTTGCTTGTTTGTTTTCAAGGGAGAAGCAGTTTGGGATTTATGTTTAAAAAGAAAACTCTGAAAGTCACAGGGGCTGAGTGGCTTCATGAGAGACAAAGGAAAAGACAAAGTCACAAATGGCAGCTCACCCCGCCTGTGAGGGGGAAGCTAAGAGGCCACAGACACAGGCTTAGTTCAGCAGGGGCCTGCTTTCCTGGGAAGCTCCCTGAAGAGAGTCCAGGAGCCCCTGCGGTGTCTGGAATTGGATGCCTGTCTGTGGAGCTCACGTTAGCTGGCCACCTCGCCTTCGGAGCATCGCCTTCCTCTTGTTCACAGGGATGAGGGTCATTGCCTGCATCTCAGCCGCAGGCCACAGGAAGGGCAGTGACCTGCTCCCAGGGCCGTGTGCTCCAGGCACCTGGCTGGCACCCAGGGCAAGGCTTTGTGACTGCGGCTGGACTGACCTGGCTTTGAGTACTGGATCTCAAACCATTCTGTGCTTGTGGGTCACTGACTGAGGTTGTTTAAGAGTGGAGACCCTGCCGTGGCCCCATCTTCAGAGATGCTGGCCCCGAAGGTCTGGAACACGCTGGGTGGGAGAGTTTGGTGCGGGGCCAGCAAGGCATGGAGGCCCCTTGGACACAGCGCAGGTTTTCCTGCCCACGGCGCGCTCAGGCACGCTCTCCTGATGATATATATGTATTTACAAAATTTTAGTTTCGAAATGATGAAAAATACACTTATTATTTTTGTTTCTGGTTTTGCTTGTTTTAAAAGCCATTTATCTCTTTTTTGTTTTTGTAGGATACTAAATTGTGGATAATAATGGAGTACCTTGGCGGAGGCTCTGCACTAGATCTTGTAAGTATCACGTCTGAGCCTGTGCACATTGAGGTTCCTCTCAACAGTCTAGGTTTTGAAGATGATTCTGTATTTGTCCATTTCTGTTTCTCTCTCTGAAGTTCTTTGAAAAGGGGAGCAAACTATATTTTTATAATATGTATTTCTGCTTCTGATATATATATATATATTTTTTATCCTCACCCGAGGACATTTTTCCATTTTTTGTTCAGGTAGAGTGGGAGGGAGAGAGAGGAACAGAGAGAGAGAGAGAGAAACATCGATATGAAAGGGACACATCGAGTGGCTGCCACCCACACAACCAACCAGGGCCAGGGACAAACTGCAACCGAGGTACGCGCCCCTAGTGTGAACCGAACCAGGGTCTCTCAGGACCGCAGGCCGACGCTCTAACTGCTGAACCAAACCGGCCAGGGCTCTGCTTCTGATATATTGCCGAAAACTATAGGTCTGCTTTTGCAACCAGTTTTGTTGTTTCTTGGGAAACCCATGAATTTGTTTATAACAGCCAAGAAGGATGTGCCTGTCACTCTCTTACCGAAGAGCAGTTTGCTAGTTTTTAAAACGAGTTTTAACTTCTGTAGAGCTGGTACCCATCTTGGTTTCAAATTTCAGATAGTAACTTAGCTTCCAAAATATGTGCGTAACATTTTAATTTATAATTAATTAAAATTAAAATTTTAAATAAGTAAAACGTATTCAGGAGTAGAGGCAGGCACCAGGTGTGAGGGTGACATTGTGCTGCCACGCACCAGAGCTGGGTGGCACCAGGGGCTGTCTGCTCCTGGCCTCGACCTACTGCACCGTTAGTGTGCGCCACTGTCTTCCACACAAGGTTGTGGAAGCTGGGTATAGAAGGACCTCAGAGTCACAGTCTGCAACTCGCTTTTCCTGAAAACATGGCTTACGTGTTGGCCTCTGACCATTGAGAAATAGCCAGTGAATCATAAGCATTGCTGAGTAAAGCACAGCATATGCAAAACAAATCTTTAGAAGACCTCACACAGTTGTTTAGCATTGGACATCTCATTTCCACTGTGCTTATGCAGCGGAATTAATGGAATCGGCCCTCTTTTCTTACCCGTCCTAGAAAAGCTGGGCTTTTGGGTGAGTGGTGATTTCGGAGACAAGCCTCGTCTATCATTTTCGTGTTAGAGGGTGGGTCCTGCCTGATAGAAAGTTGTCAGGATGATGGGTCCCATTATTCACTGCTCTCAGAGTGGGAGCTGAAAGCAGCCGTGATTTTTAGTGGTTATAGTCTGCGTAGATTCTGTTCACTAAGAAGTGCCCTTTGATGAAAAGGAACTGGCTTTATCACAGTAATAGTAGCAATTTGTAGTTTTGGGGGAAGGTAAACCTCTAAAACTATAAACCTCTAAAAGGCTTATGTACCCAATTTAAAAAATATTACCTAATGTTAAAAACCATAAAAGCAGTTGGTCAAAATGATATTCAAAGGAAATTTTTTTTTTTTTTTTTTTTTTTTTTTATCCTCACCTGAGGACATTTTTCTATTTTTTGTTCAGGTAGAGTGGGAGGGGGAGAGAGGAAGAGAGAGAGAAACATCGATGTGAAAGGAACACATCGAGTGGCTGCCACCCGCACGACCAACCAGGGCCGGGGACAAACTGCAACCGAGGTACGTGCCCTTAGCGGGAACCGAACCCGGGTCTCTCGGGACCGCAGGCCGACGCTCTAACCGCTGAGCCAAACCGGCCAGGGCTCAAAGGAAATTTAAAGAATACAATTTATATGGTAGAAACCATCACATTAAAATGGGAGCAGGACAAGGCGGCTGGACAAATTTTATGGCTTGCTTTGCTGCTTTTCCATAAATACATACATTACACAAAGAACTGTTTTTACTCTTTGGGGAAATACTACAGGACTGTGGAAAATTATCTCATTTCATATAATTAGATTTCATATTATCTTAAGTGAATTTCATTTGTGGCATACATGAAGTTGTTTGTGGGTACTCTTTTCTGACCTTGAGTCCTTCAGGGCAGCAATTCTAGTCTAAATGCTATAATTTATTCATTCTTAATACCACAGTAATTTACGTATTTAGTGGTAACTGTCTTTGGAGCTTTGAATTGAAGTCTTTGAGATTTTAGGCATTACACTTAGAAGAAGTGTAGAACTCTCCACTTTAAAAAAGAGTCCATGTAGCCCTGGCCGGTTTGGCTTAGCGGTTAGAGCGTCCACCTGCAGTCCCCAGAGACCCGGGTTCGGTTCCCGCTAAGGGCATGTACCTCGGTTGCAGTTTGTCCCCGGCCCTGGTTGGTCGTACAGGTGGCAGCCACTCAATGTATCCCTTTCACATAGATGTTTCTCTCTCTCTCTCTCTTCCTCTCTCTCCCTCCCACTCTATCTGAACAAAAAATGTCCTCAGGTGAGGATAAAAAAAAAAAAAGAGTCCATGTGGTATGAGAGTCTCAGAAAACTGCCATCTACCTTACACATCAGTGACCCTGGGGACAAGAGCCAGGGATCCCTTTTTGGTTGTCCCTAATCATCCCGTTTTCATGGATGAGGAAATAGAGACACGGTGAGCAGGTGTGACGTCCGTGGCCTTCCCTGACCCCATGCTGCCCCCCCACGACTTTGTTGTATCTCCCTGACCCCTTTTCTGTTGGCCTGTCCCCAGCTCTCTGAGAAGAGGACAAACACACCTTACTAATGGGATACAAGAATAATCTTTTGCATGTTGAAAACTATTAGTATTATTTTGAGAGGGTCTTACATGTATAGCAGATTTTAAAAACCAGAATGTTGTCAAGTATAAAATTTTGAGACCACATGGAGATGTTTGATAAACTTAAAAGGGTATCCGCAGCGTGTTTTCAGAAAATGAGATGGCGTAGTCATTAAGGTTTAGGCCAAGCTGCTGTTTCAGGGCCCCAGGGCCCCTCACAAGATAGACATTTATTTCTCTCCCACATTGGGGCTCAGTGGGCTCCAGTCCACATGGTCACCAGGGTTTTGCACTGGTGGGTGGTCCTGCGACCGTACCCCATAGCCTTCCCAGCCCTCTGGCTGCCATATCTCAAGGCCAGGGCCAGGGAAAGAAGGGCTTGCTCACGTGGCCGCTCTTGCTGCAGCCGCTGGCAGCTGCGGCCTCTGTGCCCTGCCCTGTGCCCTGCCCTGTGCCCGCAGTCTTCTCTGTTGCAGAGGAAGAAGTCGACAGCAGACTCAGAGAGGGGATTCAAAGTCACCTAGAGACGAGGTGCAGCTTAAAATTTTTTCCCTGGGAAACTTTTGTAAAGATTATCTGAAGATTCCCACAGTTCTCTTAATGATAGACCACATGTTTATACTGCTTAGAAATGGTCGCAGTGGGGAATGCTAACATAGGACTCCATGAACTTAGCTCAGCAGGTCTTACCTACTTGTGAGGGTCTCTGTGATGTGGAGAGCAACTGAAGACCCTTGATAACGCATTTTGACACCAAGAAGGACACCTGCTTTATCCCCCACCCCGAGTAAATGGAGTATTAACCCCCACACCACCCCATGACGAATTAATCATTGGTGGGTGGTGTTCAGGCCAGATTGAAAAGGGTATAACCATGCATTCATTAATCAGAGAGCCAGCTCTCAATGATCCCGGGGAGATGTTCTAATTAGTTTCTCTCAGCAGTTCTTATCTCCTTGCTGATGACATCAGGCTGCTCTGCTGTTTCTTTCCAGAGACTTGATAGTAACAGAAGGGAGGTTAAAGTTCAGTCCACATCCAGCCACATGTTACTGCTTGGAGGAGGAAACAGAACTTGTACTCTGTGACATGATTTTGAACAACTGGGTTATCCTTCTGTGTTGTGGCATTGTGAATAAAAAACAATATGCCAGCATCCCTGCCCTCCTCCCTCTTACCCCTAGGTTAAGAGAAAAGTGCCTTTTCCTCATTTTGAGTATTAAAATGTCTAATTTCTATGAACACTCAGAAATAGACGTGGAGAGGCAGACAGGCAGGGTTTCCAGATTGTGCCCTTTGGAACAGTAGTTTCAGTGTCTGTTTCTTGAAAACAAGACTCTTGGTCAGATACCTGGGGACAGTTAGGTTCTGTGGAACAGTGTGCAGTGTGTTGCCTCGGTCGGAGGTAACTTTTGGATGGTATCTTGATTAGACTTTGGGGTATTTCCTGGCAGCTTAGTTGGCCCAAGCAGTGTGACTTTCTCTGAGCACTTATATAATACACAATAAGACTAAAGTGAGCGCACGTTGTCTGACACCTGTGTTCTGCAGGTGAGGGAACAGAGGAGCTGCTCCGCCACAGGCATGCCCTGCGGCCAGACAGGCTGGAGTCCCAGTGAGCCATCCTCTCGGGAGGCAGCCCCGACCCTGAGAAGGAGAACCTCTCCGCCTTTCCCCCAGACTTTGTGGATTTTTGTGTAGGCCAGGTTGGGCCACGAGCAGAGGCAGCATAGTTGGCTACATGAACCAGAAGGCAATTCGAGGCACGAAAGCTCTAGGGAAGCAGGAAGGGGTGCCCCGCCTTGGGCCCTGTGAACAACTGATGTGGCGCCGTCGCCCCCTCTGCGGCCCTGCCCCCTCCGCGGCCCTGCCACGCACCAGCAGGACTGCCTGTCTGCAAGCAGGAGCCTCAGAGCTCTGCCTTACAGGGAGGGTCTTGGCTTTCACGCCCTTTGCGTTAAAGCACATGTGTCTTTTTAAAGCACACTCAGTACTGTCACAGGGTTGTGTCTTCCTGTGGACTCACGTGTGTGAATTTGGGTTCTGATGGAATTCACTCTTGGATCTGAGACTGATACCAAGGACCATCGTTCAGATGAAAAATCAGTATGTTATTAGAATTCTGCCTCTCTCTGTGACAGTTCCATGATTAGTTCTTTAGGGAGTGTCTGATTGTTCTGCTGAAGTAATTTATGTAATTATTTAGTTGTGGTTGAATTCCTGCTCTGCAGGTAATGGAGGAGCTACGGAGTCTGAACTGGGCTTTGGAATCTGTCTGATTTCCCCTGTAAAATGGGTGTAAGTGTACTTGACACTCTGTCCTTATATCTTTATACAATTACCAGTATTAAGGAGCCAATATCAATTTCTTTGAGTTTCTCAGAATAAAAGTTTTCAGAGGTAATTATTACCTGATTTGGAATAATATAATAAGTATTTTGTATTATATAACATATATAAAATGTAACAAAAAAAACTCAATCATTAGGAATTGAGATCTTTCAGCTGTCTTCTCCCAAGTTGTAAATTTTAGGCTTAAAAAATTCTGGTGCAGGGGTAGCCTCAGAAAGCAGTGGGCTCCCAGACCTTCTCTTGTGGGCCGCTGTGTTTTGCTAGCCACTGCACATGTCAGGGCAGAGCCAAGCTGCTTCGTGCCTCCCTAGCGAGTCCCAGGAGCTTTCTGGGCCAGAATCCCTTAGGGCTCAACTCGCAGGTACAGTGGGCTGACCATGGGCTCCCCGACCCACGGCCCTGCTTTAATTCTTGGCCAGGTTTACTTCATTCAGCCAAGTCATTTTCTCTGCTTCACTGTTGTTTTTTAGGGCCCTTTAAGCTGGTTTTAATTGTCTGGAAAAAATGCCTGTTTTGGAGTAAAGAAGTTTTCAGATTTTCATTATTGTCCATTGAACATGGGTATTGACTCTGTTTCATCATTTTAAACTTTTTATAATCATATAAGTAACTAACATTTTTTTTTTGTTTTGTTAGTTAGAACCTGGCTCTTTAGATGAAACTCAGATTGCTACTATATTAAGAGAAATACTGAAAGGACTTGACTATTTGCATTCAGAGAAGAAAATTCATAGAGACATTAAAGGTAAGACGGCATCTTGTTTTTATTCCTTTGAAAGCTACAGTGGGTGGGAACGGGCTGCAGTCACACTGCTTCTCTCCACAAGGGAGGCTGTCCTGTGCGCATTTGCGGAGCGCCCGCAGCACGCCTGGGCGGGTGGCTTTCGGGGCGTCTGACCAAAAGCATACCCTTGTGCCTGCTCTTGAGGAGCACGTGATCTGCTGAGGCGAGAATAAACATTCCCTAAATGATAATGGATGGAGCAGTACAGCAGGTGATACCAAGAGGCGTCTTGGTTTTACTTTGCAGCTGCCAATGTTCTTCTCTCTGAGCATGGAGAGGTGAAGCTGGCTGATTTTGGAGTGGCAGGCCAGCTGACAGATACCCAGATAAAAAGAAATACCTTCGTGGGCACCCCTTTCTGGATGGCACCCGAAGTCATTAAACAGTCGGCCTACGACTCCAAGGTAAGTGCCGATGCTTCATGTTCGCTGAGTCTGAAGAGCCCCCCCACACCCCCCCATACACCCCTTATTTTTCACCTTATAGCTTATCCAGTTGGAGCAAAGACTAGTACCTTGAAGTAGGTCATAAAGGTCATTCTTGGACCTTGGTTAAAAACAGGTTTCTTCTCTGTCTCCTGCTGTATCATTTAATATCCTTTATTTATCCAGTCCACAGTTAATGAGGTTTTTAGCTTAAACAAGGTCTGCTTGGTGGCAGTGGTGGGGAACACTGAGAAAGGAGGGTGCTAGGCGATGGGTGTGGAGAGGGGCGGGCCAGGGTGGCGCCAGGGTAGAGGAGGCATCCAGGAGAGAGAGGCGTGCGGCACGTGGGTCCGCAGAGAGGGCCCAGGGTGTGGTTTGTGTACAGGGGGTAGCTGAGGTCTGTGTGCAGTGGGTGGAGGAAGGGGGCCTTGGACAGAACTCTGAGTGGTGTTTAAGGGACAAGTACAGAAAGAGGATCCCACAGGAGAAGCAGCTGGCAAAAACCAGAATAATGCTTTTAGAGATTGCTGCAGATTCTTCCTATCATTATCTTTAGTTCCAAATCAGAGTTGTTAATATTCTCACAGGTTCCTAACCAACATGAGGCAAAATTATTATTCCCTTTTTTCAACATCTCTCTTTTTGAATCCTCACCTGAGGACATGCTTATTGATTTTAGAGAGGGGAAAGGAGAGAAAGAAAAACATTGATGGGAGAGAGAAACATTGATCGGTTGCTTTCCTGTATGCGCCCCAACTGGTATTGAACCTGCAACCTAGGTTATGCCCTGACCAGGAATCGAACTGCAACCTTTTGTTGTACCAGATGACGCTCAACCAGAGCCACACGGCCAGGGCTCCAGCCTCTTTTACCTGTCATCTGTTGTCCTCTCCCAGTTTTTCCCGATTTTTTTCCGCCCTGTTGCCCTTCAACTTCCTTAAACTTTTGGTATAGACTGAAAAACCTAGGGACCCTGCCTCCGTGGTCTCTGATGTAATGCCATCTCCCACAGGCTGTTCTTTCTCAACCCCAAAGATAGCAGAGCTGTGTAGTCTCTGGTGTGTTTGTTGCGTGATAGGGCTTTGCCTCGTATGGTGGATGGATTGCCCCGATCGCTACTTGTAATCACATTTTAGGCCTTGACAGGGACTTACATGTTCAGTCTATTCTGTCTTTTTTAAGCTGAAGTTCATTTATTAAAGTTCATAGGTCTAGATTTTGGTAGGGACTAGAATGCAGATGTTTTAACTCATTTGATTATACCACACTGATTATTCTCTTCCCGTCTAGTAAATTAGCTGACCAGCTGTGGCACGTGTGCCTCAGGAAGCAGATCTGACATTTAAAGTGTTACCCGCCATTATTCACGGCACAGTTTTTCTTCGGAATTGTCCTGGCTGCCCAAGCCCTTTCCCCTCCCTGTCTTTCTCCCTTGTGCAGGGTCTCTCCAGCAAGATTTTACTGTATCACAGAGCTTTGCCACCTTTTTTACTGGAGTTCTTAACAAGATCAAAATGCTTTTATCTCATCAGTAGAAGTTGCAGTATTCTTTTTATATAAGTTTTTTTTTTTTTAATTGATTTTTAGAGAGAGAGGAAGGTAGAGGGAGAGAGACATAGATGAGAGAGAACATCGATTGGCCACCTCCTGCATGCCCTGCGCTGGGGATCAGGCCCACAACCTGGGCATGTGCCCTGACCAGGAATCGAACCGGCGACCTCTTGGTGCATGGGTCAACATTCAACCACTGAGCCACATTGGCCGGGCTGTTGCAGTCTTATTTTTAGGTAGACTGAAAGGTGCTGTCTCAACTCACAGAGAGTGCAATCTTGGTTTGGGAGCTTGAGAAACTTTCACCTGATCTTTAATTACTTGACCGTTTTCTCTGGCTCAGTTCAAAACCTAAATCCTTCATTTGCTTGGATTGTACCCAGTGACTCTATTTTTTCAAACAATTTTTTATTTTTAAAATTTTCTAAAGACTCTTTTCGGAAACCATGTGTGGAAATATGTTTATGTGGAACTTGCTTCCCATATTTGTTGACCCAGGAGGTGTGGATATTGCAGATAAGGCTAATGTCTATGCCTGAGTCTTGAGGCTTATCCGAAGTGGGGTTCTAGAGGCTGGGGCCTTAGGGATAATGTCACATACACTCTCATCAGTTGTGACTCTGGGCCAGCAGCTCTTGTTGTGAGCAATGCATGACAGAGGGTCTTCTCCGAGGTTGCTGTACGAAATACCCTTCCGGTGACTGCCTCCCCTCACTGAGGCTTGTCTGATGGGGCAGTTTATGTTCTTGGAGGGACACTGGCCTTTGTGGCCACCCTGGTTTCTTTCCAGTTCTCCCTTCCATTCTGGTCATGGAGAGCACGCTCCCTACCCTGGTCATGAGAGCATGGTCCCAGCACTTTCATCCTTGGATACGCACACTAATTTGCAAAGGAAGGTCGGCTGGGAAATGGGAAGGATTTATCTGCCTCACTAGCCTCTTCATCTCACTGAACTGAAAAGGAATATAAGTCTTAGTTTTATGAATATGTCTAGATGCTTGTTTAACAGTATATTCTTAAACCAGTATCTTTGACCCCTTGGCATTTGTCTGGGCTGCTTAGGTGTTCTGACTGCTCATGCAGGGCATCTTACTGTTGGTCTCAGTTCCTAACCTGAGCACAGCGTCACTAAGTCATCATAGTCCCTATGCCTGAAGAACCTTTGTCATAATTGTTATTATTAAGGTGATTTAGGGTAGCTTGGTTTGTTTACGAAGTCCCCAGACTTTGAAGATGGTGCCAAGGCAGATAAATTCTGACCAGGAAACCTTTGCTTTCAATGCTAGGGCAGGGTCTTGGGCTGCAGAACTTCCTCTCCCCCCCTTCCTTTGCAAGGTTATTATGATGGTCTGTCAGCAAATGGATTGGATGTGGGTAAGGACTGTTCCCGTTCTGTGTCCTTTTCTCTGTACTCATTCAGTCTTCACTGTAGTTGTACTACTCATTGCTGTGCTAAACAATTTATATCCTCAGTGAGTAATTGCAGTACTGGGTGTCAGGTGCTCTAACAGGTGAGCGGGAATGCAGGGGGCTGAGTGAGGGCCATCAGAAGGAGCGGGGCAAGGAGTCAGACACAGGGCTTTTCAGCCCCTCAAAGATAAGGGAAGGGTGTTCAGACCTCGTCCACGCACGGAAGGAGCGGCGCTTCCATTGGGGTTGTGCCTTGTGGTGAAGAACATGGCAGGGAGGGAGCGGAGAGGGCGGCTGCCTGTTGAGTGAACAACACCCTGTAGACAGGAGGGGCCAGTGTCAGTGTTCTCTTGCAGATAGCTCTTCCTGGTTTGGGTCTCAACAGCAGCAAAAGCTCTTTAATCTGGAAAATAAAAGAAAAAAAAAGAAAAGAAAAACTTCTGTAGACCTATCATCCAAGCACAAGCTACGTTATTTTGGTGTCCACTCATCTCTGAAATAACCGTTGGCAGTTAACCATGGTGAAAAGTAGAAATGGGTGAGGTACTGATGGAAAAAAATAAATTTGTTAAAGATGAGTGAAAACCTGGTGGTATTAGTCTAGTGGTTGCTGGAATCTGCACAGTTAGCTGTCCACTGCAGTGCAGGCGGGCCCTCCCCGTCCTGGTACCTAACCAGCGGGCCTCCCTGGTCCCTGTTCAGGTTCAGGAGGTGGGGGAAGGACGTGAAGGGGAACAGCATCCAACAGCAGGCTTTATTTTAGCACGTGGTAATGATTGCACCTTTTTGGATCAGCCATATAATTGCTGTGTAGCTCAAATGATTTTTATACCTCTAGATGCTGCTTGTAAATGTGTTTCTAAGTATTGCATCTAATTAAGTAAATCGTTTATATTAAAGTCCATTTTGAGCTGTGTTTTGACTGTGATTTGGGGTTCTCCTCGGGTTTTCACCCGGTTCCTCTTGATTATAGAGTTGACTGCAGTTCCTTCTAGAATATTTCTGTGCATAATTTTTCATACCACTCAAATTGAATTGTCTGTAGATTTGTAGCCAGCTTACTTATACTTAAAGACGGCAAAGATTGGCATTGCAGAGATTTAGAATGTTGTGTATTAGTAGCAAGCACCCCACTCAACTTCCAGCCCCCATTGAGGAGTCCTTGATCATCAGTAACAGATACTCTGGGTGGTGCTACCTAGAACTGTCCGCATAGGAAGACATCTGTTCACAAATGTCTGCAGTGCACGGCACCAGCCCCTCACAGCTTTGGACTTGCACTCATATTGAAAACCACTGCTTGTTCTCTCTCAGTATCTAATTTCATGTCTTTCATGACAGTGAAACAGGTCTCTCCGTATACTTGAATTTTAATTGCTTGGAAAAGACTGCCCTTCTCCCACGTAACTTATATTTTAAAACGCAGACACTAGTCTGACACCGTATTTCCTGTATACTCATAGACAGACTCAGCTATGTTTGTGATTCCTGATCAATGTCACTGTTGTTGAGTGCGTGGTCCTTTAGTAGCTGATGTGCAACGGCAGCGTAGTCATTCTTCCAAGGTTCAGCCTTAGCAATGCTGCCATCGAGTAGTTTTGACAGCATGTGCCACGCTCTAAATCTAAATGTATTTATTTAGGATATATTCCTAGAAGTGGAATTAATTGGTTTTAACAAGTTTGGATATTTTTATGGCTTTTGATATGTGATGCCAAATTGCTTGCCATTTATTCTAGTACCAGTCAAGGTTTCCAAATCAGTCAGGAGGATGTTAGATGTCTGCAGAGGGAGCCTGCAGTCAGGAAGACACTTAGGAGCTCCCTACGGAAGTCCCCAGAGAGAGCAGCTCTGAGCTAAGCCAGGTCGGGAGTTCCAGAGGGCTGATCCAGGGCGCCGAGATGTCAGGAGCCACATAACTGGCACCTGGTGATTTAGGAGGATTCAGAGAAGGGCCCTGAGAGGCTGGGCTGACACTCCAGTTCCTGGCTGGGCTGGCTGCCTGGGAGGATGGCACCTGTTTTGTCTTGACAAGGCTCTGTTGGCGACTGTCCCAGAGAAACAGGTGAGTGAGTGATACCTGTGCCTCTTCTCTGAAGACTCTGAGCTATGTAACAGGTGGGGCTGGGAATGCTGTTTCCTTGGTTAACTTCAGTTGGTCCTTCCTGGCAGCTGGAAGCAGGTGCCAGGTCCTCTGAGTCTTGCTGCCTGTTTGCTTATTGACTTGGAGCCCAGTAGCACCCTTGGACCACTGAAGGCAGTGATGCCGGGGCATCCCGTGACGGGCGCCAGCATTGCCTGGGCCTTCTAGCCACGGAGTGGGTTTAAGTGGTAACAAGGCATGTAGGGGTCCGGAGGTGTATCCATCAGAGGTCATCTGGACAGGGGTCCTGCATCTGTTCGGTGGGAGGCAGACTGGTGTCAGGTAGTGGGGCTTTGCCAACAGCAGCAGTTCTGGTGAAATCCAAGAGGCCTAGAGCTGCGGACCGATGGGAACCATGCAGACTTGAGGAAGGACCTGATGGGCAAAGGGCTGCTGCCAGACGAGAGTCACGATTTTCATCCTCTCTGCCTCTTCTGTTCTTGTACATCACCCTGGTACCTGCACACTAGTCATGTCCTTCTGCCACTGCACAGTGACCGGTGCTCATTGCTGGCACACTCCTTGCACCCTTCTTCCTCCTCTTGGGGGGAGGGTTTCTGGAATAAGTCACATTTTGCTGATTTTTAAAGTAATACACATGTAAAATAAAGCAGAGTGCAGGTTGCAGATGGAAGGAAAATAGCCTATTACTTCTGATACAACTTCATCTAGCCCTTCAGTGAAATGTAGTACAGGTAATTTAGAACAAGGCTTGCTCATTCCCTCCTTCCCTGAGAACAAGAGGAAATGGAGTATGTGGTAGGCATGGCATGTATGTGCTGGGGAGAGGGTGGTGAGGGTTTCTCGTGCTCAGATTGCAGGAACATGCTGAGTCCTCCCCATGTTGTTAAAGGTGGAATGTCTGGGCCCTGCGGTGACCAGAACAGGGTTTCATACTTTCCATGTCCTTGTTGTGGGGTGAGTGTGAGAGATGTTTTAGGTCCTCACTTCATTGCCCGGCATTATGACGGGTTTACAGTGTACAGTGACAAGAGCAGAGAAGCTGTACTAGACTGAATACAGTGGAGGTTGGGCCCCTTTGCCCCCTGCGGGGCCACAAGCGTGTGCTGGGCAGGAGGGGGGTCAGGCATCTGGATGCTGGGTGCCCCCACATGGCACCTCCTGATTCCTGCCAACAGTGAATCTAACCAAGCCTCTAGATTTAATTAACCTATTGGATATTTGACAGGGAATACAGGAGTAGAAGAACACACTGAATGACACCAGGAAGAAAACAAACTAATCCGGAATTTGGGCCTATTTCTTAAAGTCGTTGACACTGGGAAGATGTAGGAATGAACTGTTGTGGGTTAAAAGAGCCTTAGGCCACCTAACAATGGCAACATAAGGATCTTGTTTAGATCCTGAATCAAATAAACCAACCATGACTTTTGAACAGTTGAGAAAATTTAATTATTACATTGTATTGAGTTATTACATAATATTTATTACATGATAAGGAATTATTGTGAATTTTAAATGTTGATGTATAGTAAAAAGTTAATATATTGGCAAACTGAAGGACTTGGGGAAAATGTCATGACTTTTCCATCTATTATGTACTATGGTGAATAATAGCTAAAACTTGTATGGTAAGTGTTACTCATGACATTCATGTGCTAGGTGTATGGGGTACACTGTACAAGTGTCTGCACCTGTCTGTTCGAGCGCTGTGTCCTGGGTGCCGTGTTAGGCACCTTGCGCAGCCACTTGTCATAATCCCCGTTTTACAGGTGGGAACTGGGCTGGTAGGTTTGATGTTCTGTTGAATGTCCCAGGACTTTGGCGTTTACATTAGTTCTAAGCATTGCTTGACTGGCAAACCGCCTCCACGCCCAGATCTGCACCTTTGCTCACTGATTGCCTGTCCCGCTGGCTGACGCAAGGACTTCGGTTAACAGTGAGTGCGTTATGCCTCTGAGCGGAAGACCGCCAATCGTAAAAGCCATCTTCAGTGCAGAGATAGATGTTTGGTATATTAACTTTCCTCTTGTGTATTGCCTATTTTGAAATAACCGAAAAGCTTATCTTTTTTATTTTCAGTTTAAAATAATGTTTTTAAAACCTTAAAAATGCATTGAGATGCATTTTTTGTCCTAAGAAGTATATTTATTTGAATTTACTCCTGCTTGGTCTCTAAAGATTCTTTTTATTACAGGCAGACATCTGGTCCCTGGGCATAACCGCTATAGAGCTTGCAAAAGGGGAACCACCTCATTCTGAGCTGCACCCCATGAAGGTTTTATTCCTCATTCCAAAGAACAACCCCCCGACGCTGGAAGGAAACTACAGCAAACCCCTCAAGGAGTTTGTCGAGGCCTGTTTGAACAAGGAGCCGAGCTTTGTGAGTTTCAGGGCGGGCACCTCTTCCTGTACGGCCGGCCTGGTCTAGATCTCACTGGGGTTTCCTTAGCACTAAGGTCAGCTGTCTTCACAGTCTCTTTTGTTTTGTTTTGTTTTTTTCTAAATGGGTATGATTGATTTCTTTGCATTGCAGATATGTTTTTATTGTTATTTTATCTTTGAAGGATTAGAATTTGTTTTTTTCAGATTTTTTAGCGTCTCATACCTCATTGATCTTGAAGACTATTCTCCTTAATTATGTGTAGTCCCAAGTTTTTAATATTTCTGGAAGGTCAGGCTATAAACTATTAAGTTATTTTTAATAATTGCAAGGTCTAGCCACAAAAAGAATGGCTAAATTTTTTTTTTAAAGTCCTCACCTGAGGATATTTTTCCATTTATCTTCAGATAAGAGTGGAAGGGAGGGAGACAGAGAGAGAGAAAAACATTGATGTGAAAGAGACACATCGATTGGCTGCCTCCCATATGACCCTGACCAGGGCCAGGGGCTGCACCACAGCCGAGGTTCATGCCCTTGACCAGAATTGAACCCGCACCTGCTTGGTCCACTGGCCAATGCTCTAACCGCTGAGCCAAACCGGCCAGGGCAGAATGGCTAAATCTTTTTTAAAGTAAATGTTTTCAGTTTCTTCTTGGAATGTGTCAGAAAAGAAAAGGCAAATAAAATAGAAATAAGCCACCTACTTTGCTTCCCCTCTTCCTTTTTTTTCCTCTCTAAATATGTTTTTATTGATTCTTTTAGGGAGAGAGAGATAGAAACATCAATGAGAAACATCAGTCGGCTGCCTCCTGCACGCCCCCTAGTGGGGATCAAGCCCGCAACCTGGGCACGTGCCCTGACCAGGCATCGAATCTGGACCATTCATTCAGTCCATGGGATGACACTCAGTCCACTGAGCCCTACCAGCCAGTCCCCGCCCCACCTCCATCTCTTCTTTATGTTTGATCGACTCGAGCAGAGCCATGTAGCAGTAACGACAATATCACTTTAGCCTAATTTTCTCTCTGAATTAGGAAATGGTTTTTTTTGTTTGTTTGTTTGTTTTTTATCCTCACCCGAGGACATTTTTTCACTTTTTGTTCAGATAGAGTGGGAGGGGGAGAGAGGAAGAGAGAGAGAGAGAGAGAGAGACCTCAACGTGAAAGGGACACATCGAGTGGTTGCCACCCGCACGATCCAACCAGGGCTGGGAACAAACTGCAACTGAGGTACATGCCCTTAGCAGGAACCGAACCTGGGTCTCTCCGGACCGCAGGCCGATGCTCCAACCGCTGAGCCAAACCGACCAGGCGGGAAAATAGTTTTGAAAGTCATCTGTGTATTTTGATGTTGTATATAGCACCATATGACCTTGTTGTTGTTGTTTTTTGTTGTTGTTGTTGCTGTTAATCCTCACCCAAGGATATTTTTTTATTGATTTTTAAACAGAGTGGGAGGCAGGGAGGAAGAGAGAAAGAAACATTGATGTGAGAGAGACACATTGATTGGTTGCCTCCCTCACAACCCCAACCAGGGCTAGGCATCAAACCTGCAACCCAGGTATGTGCCCTTGACCAGGAATTGAACTCACGGCCCTTTGATCTGCCGGCCAACTCTCTAACCGCTTAGCCAGACTGGCTAGGGCCTTGTTTTATGAATTTTCCAGCATGGTTAGCTGAACCCTCCCTTTTCATGAACTCATCTAAAAACAGATGATTACTTTCACAAGAGCACCATGGTTTTCTAACATGTTGGTTTTGGTAAAGGAATTAAGTGGGGAGTGCAGCCTATTCTGAACTCCTCTAGGGGATGTTGTTCTGCACGGCCATAAGGCTCTGAACTTCACATCGTGATGTCAGCTCCTAGTCACATGGCACCATCGCCCAAGACACACCCACACACATGTGCACCTTCCCATTAAAAGCATACTTCCAGCCCTGGCCGGTTTGGCTCAGCAGTTAGAGCATCGGCCCATGGACCAATGAGTCACTGGTTCAATTTTGGTCAAGGGCACGTACCTTGGTTGTGATTTGTCCCTGGCCCTGGCTGGGATCATGTGGGAGGCAGCCACTTGATGTGTCCCTTTCACATTGATGTTTCTCTCTCTCTCTCTCTCTCTCTCTCTCTCTCCCTCTTCCTCCCACTCTTCTGAACAGAAGTGGAAAATGTCCCTGGGTGAGGATAAAAAAAACATACTTCCAGTATTGGCCTACCTGCCCAGTGCCCCTGCCTGGACCCCAGATGCCCTGAACCCTAGATGCACTGAGAGAAGGATGCAAGCCCTTGTGAGATAGTTGGGGATTCACAGTCACGTGGATAGGGTGTGAGAAATATCTGAGCTGGCCCAGGTTTTTCATAAGCTTGAATGTGAGAAACATGCCTAGCTCCTGTTTATAAAGCTTTAGTATTTCGAAATAACTGGGAGTTTAGTCTGACTCATGTGGTTTGTGTGTTCCCTCTGCCTGCTCCGATTTGGGCATCACTCAGCTTCCTTGGGAAGCATGCTCCCTGTAATTGGTTTTCCCAACCTCAGGGGCAGAGCGGTCGGCCAGGTTCACAGCGCGCTATCTGGCTGTGGCCATCCTGAGCCCAGGGCCTGGATGAAGCCCTCACCTCGATCACAAGGAAAGAGCATTTCTAAGTTGGGAGCTGGATGAACTCAAGTGCTCTGTTAGCAACCAAGAAAAGGGTGTATCCTGGTTCCTTTCTAGATGGATCCAAATGAATTTTTTTTGTTTTGTTTTGTTTTGTGGGGTGGAGCCAAATATTAATGTAGAAAGTTAACAAGGTCATACCAAACATGTTTTTTCTCTTGTCAGCATTTGCAATAGAATGTTTTATAAAAACTAGGAGATTGGGGGGGGGGGTGTGGAGATGAGATAAACCAAAGAACTTATATGCATGAAAGCGTAACCAATGGACATAGACAACAATGCTTGGTGGTGGGTGGGATTGGGAGGAGGGTGTCAGCAGAGAAAAAGGAGAAACATCTATAACAAAAATAAGTTAATTAAAAAAATAATAAAAAATGGAAAGAGTTCCCAGCTTAAAATAAAAAAAAAAAAACTAGAAGATAATACTCTAGCTTTTTTGAGTGATTTCTGTGAAATTCTCTGGAGCATTTTCTAGGTAAATGCTTTTCTCTGGGGGAAGTTCTCTTGCTTGTATTGGATGGTTTTCTGAGAATTTAATGTTAGATACTAAACGTTACGTCCACGCTGTACAGAGTCCCAACCATGGGTGCTGAGTGGCTATTTGAAGTAGAAGGATCTAGATATTCGTGTGGCTATTTGACACTTTGAGAAAGAAGTCTGATCTTTGGAATCAAGTAGAATGCAGGGACTTCATCCCATTTTTTCGGTTTCCTTTGGTGGTTTGTCCCCCAGAGACCCACTGCTAAGGAGTTACTGAAGCACAAGTTTATAATTCGCAACGCAAAGAAAACGTCGTACCTGACGGAGCTCATCGACAGGTACAAGAGGTGGAAGGCTGAGCAGAGCCACGAGGACTCCAGCTCGGAAGACTCGGACACGTAAGTCGCTTGGCCTGCGCCACGTGTGGGCGAGCAGCCCGGGTCGCGTGCCTGTGGCCGCTCTGTGCCTGGGCCGCTGGCATTGGGAGTTGTCTGTCTGGTCTGGTCTCTTCTTTGGGGTGGGCTTTGTTATTTTTTCCTAAAGATATCCAGGTTGATGGTCCCCCTTAGGTTAGTAGGGGACCACTGGGAGTCTTTTAGCCTCTTTTTGTTGCCAGTGGAGTTTTTCTGCATAAAGTCTGTGATAAAACTTCGTCAATTGAACTAGACCTGGTTTCTTTTTCCTTTGTTACACTTCCTGCTCTTAAAATACTAATCAGATGAAACTACTTCAAACATATATTTTAAGAAGATGTAAATGTATGTTTTTGTGATTCTGTGTTGTGTTCTGGTAGAGCCTTCGAATGTAAAAGCTCCATGCCAGGAAGTTAGCAAAGCTGGTGCCGAGTGAAGCAGCTAGGAAGTGTGCTAGCTGGGAGACTCGAGCTGGGTCTGGAAGCCGTTGCAGTGTCAGGGCAAGGCAGCCGGACTGCCGGCTCGACGCAGGACAGGACAGGAAGCCAGGCCAGTTGAATCCGAGTGTGTGTTCAAGGTCCCCAGGTGATTCCATTATAAAGCCAAGAATGACCACCACTGGTTAGGAATTGCTGAGGTTGTGGAGTTGAGAAATTAGGGTCGTAGCGGTGGGGATGGAAAGATGAACAGGGAGTCTGAATGTGGCCATGGCTTTGGATAAAGGCGGAGGAGACAGTTCAGGCTGCAGCAGTGTGGTGCGTGCCGTTGAGATGGCGACACTGGAGAAGAGGCTGGTCTGGGGAGGAAACAGTTTGGTGTGGGACATGTTCGAGTTGCTGGTAGGATGTCCAAGGGGGTGTGTCGAGTTGAGTGGCGTTGGGATTGACGTCTTGGCAGATGATGCAGGTTTAGAGGCACTACCCCGTCAGTGGTCACTGGAGCTGTGGGCACAGATGGGTCCTTCACAGCGTATCTGCAGAGAGAAGGGCCTGAGGCTCAGGACCAAGTCCTAGGAAATGCCAGCATAAAGGATGACCCTGTGAATGACATGGGTCAGAAGAAATTTGGACATAGTGTGGCCCAGGGGTCTGGAGAGTCTAAAGGAGGAGGGTGTGGTCTGCAGGATCATTTGCTGCTGAGGTTGAAGCAGGTGAAGGACTGTCTAGTAACTCCTTTTTTTTTAATCCTCTGAGGACATTTTTCCATTTTTTGTTCAGATACAGTGGGAGGGAGAGAGAGAGAGAAACATGGATGTGAGAGAGACACATCAAGTGGTTGCCACCCACATGACCCCAACCGGGGCCGGGGACAAACTGCAACCGAGGTCCGTGCCCTTAGCGGGAACTGAACCTAGGACTCTCCTGTCCACAGGCCGACGCTCTAACCACTGAGCCAAATCTGCCAGGGCTTGACCAGTAACTCTTTTGATGGCCTAGGTCATAGTAGTTTCAGGGTTAGGTTGTTTTAGAGGGAGTGGAAGGTAAGAAATGGAGGCAATGAGTGTAGTTAACATCCAAGAAATGTGGCGGAGGGACTGGCGGTAGGTAGATGGGCGGTGGTGTTGCGTGAGCTAAAGGAGTGCATTTTGAATCTTGGGTGTGAAGGAGCCTAAGGGTAGGAAAGTCCAAGGGCGAGGAGCTGTCAGTGGAGTAGAGGGTTGCTCTACAGGAGAAGGGACGCTGCCTTCCACCTGAAGAGGGTACAAGGGATGGGTGTGGATGCAGCTGGCACTGTGGGAAGTTACGGGAACCTCTCTGTGTGGCAGGAGGCTGGCTTGCCTTCTGGAGCCCTGGAGGGACTGGGAGTGGAGAAGGTGGAAGTCAGTGTGGAGTGTGAGGGTGAGACAGAGGGCATGCAGGGGGCAGCGCTGAGGGCTCAGCTGGGGTTTGAGAGGCCGCCTGGGGGCTCCTGCGTGAGTCTGAGCCCCGCAGAGCAAGCTCACTCACAAGTCTCCTGCCTCTGTGTTAAGGGAAACGGACACGGATGGCCAGGCATCTGGAGGCAGCGACTCTGGGGACTGGATCTTCACGATCCGAGAGAAAGATCCGAAGAATCTCGAGAATGGAGCTCTTCAGCCATCGGATTTAGAAAGAAATAAGGTACGTTTGCTGGTCCTAGCAGGACTTACATGTCATCAGTCAGCTGCATTTTCAGTTGCTTTTCTGTGAGGCCTCTGTGTCCGTGGGCAGGGTGGTCCCTCATGGGAGCCTGTTCTGGAATTTTGCTGTCAGTGAACTGGCAGAGCAAGAGATTGTGTTCTGTGTGATTACTCAGTCAGGCCTAATTTCTGCCCTCTGTAGGCCTGTCCTGCTGTGGAGTCAGCATTTCCTAACACTTGGACATACAGTGGGAGTCATGGGGTGTGGGAGTAGGGTGGGGTTTCACACATGAGATGGCTTTCTAGCTCTGTATACAGTAGACATAGTCCTGCTTTGCATATAGGGTTATTCATATAAGGTACTAGAATTTTGGGATTACGTTTTATTTAAAATCACTAAAAGGACAATGAGGTATCATCTCACACTTGATAGAATGGCTGTCATCAGTAAATCCACAAGGTTGGCGAGGATGTGGAGGAAAGGGAGAGCCCTCGTGCCCTGTTGGTGGGATTGCAGATTGGAGCAGCCACTGTGAAAAACAGTATAGAGGTTCCTCAACAAAATTAAAATAGAACTACTATATGATCTAGCAGTTCCCCTTCTGGGTATTTATCTGAAGAAATCCAAAACACTAATTTGAAAGACTATATGCACTCCTATTATGCACTCCATTTATGCACTCCATTATTTATAATGGCCAAGATATGGAAGCAACCCAAGTGCCTGTTATTAGACAAATGGATAAAGAAGATGTCGTACATGCATACAATGAACTATTAGTCACTCATGAAAAAGAATGAAATCTTAACATTTGTGACAACATGGATGGACTTAGAGGGTGTTTATGCTAAATGAAATAAGTCAGAGAAAGACAAATAACCACATGATTTCACTTACATAGAGAATCTGGAAAAAACAAAATAAATGAACAAAATAACAGATGGAAGGAGGGTTGGGGACAATGAACAAAAGAGAACAAACAGAACAAACTGATTGTTGCCAGATAGAAGGAAGGTTGGGGGGGGGGGGGGCTGAGTGAAAATGTGAAGAGATCAAGGAGTACAAACTGGCAGTTATAAAATAGTCCTGGGATATGAAGCACAGCAGAGAGACTATAGTCATAATGTTGTATTAGCTGTGTATGGTGTCAGATAGGTGCTAGACTTACCAGGGATCACTTCGTAAATTACATTTTGCTTGGATAACACCTATCTGAAGTTTATTGAATTCTTGCAAGTGTGAATGTCAGATATTTCTAATGACCTTTTTTTCCCCCCAAGATGAAAGACATCCCAAAGAGGCCTTTCTCTCAGTGTTTATCTACAATTATTTCTCCTCTGTTTGCAGAGGTAAGACACCATTTCTGTTGGGGGGAGGTGAAAAGGGAGGGGAAGGCTGGGGGAGCGGAGAGCAGGGCACCCCTCCTGTGACAGTGTTGCTGGTGGAATCTGGGAGGTCAGAACAGGCAGGAGAGTGTGCCTCGTGCTGCTGGGAGGCCGCTGGACCCAGCCCTTGCTGGGAACTGCCCCTGTGTCACTGCCTCGAGCGCACGGACAGGGCGTGAGTGGCCGGCCCGAGGCCCTGTGTTACCAGGCGGTTTGTAACTTCAGTTGTGCTGCTTCCAACAAAAAGTATTTGGTGGAGCCTGACCTCTGTCTGCCTCAGGCAGATTTATGACAGTGTAAAAAGTATATTTTTCTTATAAAGGGGACACCAGATTCCCTGGAGTTCTCACATTTCCCCTTGAGCCCCCAGATTACCCATAATCCTTAGCTCCCAGAGTAGTCGCCTAGCCCAGAGGGCGGCTCATGTCCCGGTTGAGCAGCCCATTTCAGTCCCTGGCTCCGTGATGACTGCACCTGCGCCGGCTCCCCGTTCCTTCTCGGGGAGATGTGTGTGCCTCCTGTAGGTATCTAGATGCATACTGTATTTTGAGATATTTTAAGAATAGATTTTGTGACAATGAAGATTATTCTTCATCTGATTAGTATCTGATTGGGGGAAACATTGGAAGTACCCCTTTCTTTCATTTTCTTACGCCCCCTTCCTGGCTCAGGTGACCTCTAAGATAATTCGGGGTGAGTCACACCAGTCAGTACCTTCTGTTTCATGGGGTGACTCAGTGCCCTCCAGGGAGGCTGTGTCAGGAGACCCTCAGCCTTGAGGTGGGTGGTCTGAGGGGGAAGGAAGCGCTTCCCTTGGCCTGAGGCTCTGCCACACAGGGCCTTCACCTGGGCAGTGCCCAGGGTTCTTCAGCCAGGCCCATCCTGCTCTCTTCCAGCCCCTGCCCTGGGCGCCCGTCCCTTCCCCAGCATCGGCCTTCACAGGCTCGCCCAGGGCCTGCCCCAACCCGGCAGACTGGGGCCCGGCCTGAGGTTAACTCACACTGTTTTTAGATGAACACAGAATGGCACAGGGCAAGGGGAAGCCCCTCTGTGTGGCTTTCTGGCTCCGGTGTTGGCTGGTTTCTTGAGTGACTTTGCTCTTCCCAGGGTGCCCACAAGACCCCATTCTGCCCTCCTGCACGTTGTTAGGAAGATTGGCCCTTCAGGCTTTCCAGATGCTCCCTTGCTCCCTCGGGACCCTGCCGCTGCCACCCTCCGGGGTCAGGCCGGCAGGCAGGGGACATGACATGTCTTTTCTCATTGTCTGAAGCTGTTTTATTTGGCACATGAAGAAACTATTCTGAAATCATTATGCAGAATTAAGGAGTCCTAGATGTAACAATATATATATATATTTTTTCCAGCTAACCTAAAGGTAAACTCATAGGCCAGGTCCTGCCAGTTATTCTGTGTGTCCTGTAGCAGGGAGAAGGAGAGACACTGTTATTTCTGCAGTGAGACTGACACTGTTCCCAGTGTCATGGTAGCATGTGTTCACAACAGCTTCAGAAAGCAAACGGTTTCTGAGAGATGGAGTTGAGGAGCGAGCTCCTGACAGAGGAGGTCATGCCCTTCTTCCTGTGGCTGCAAATGGAGCCCGTTCTGAGTGGCTCTCAGTCCTGCACCTTGACCGGAGCAGCTCCCGTTTCAAATTGTACGTTTCTGTCACATTCCTGAAAGGGACTGAGTTTACCTTAAAATGAGGGAGGTGCCTGAAGACACTGATTTCTCATAGGAGCAGAGGTGCCAAGAGGGACATTGCAGATCCCCAGGTTTTAGGTGAACGAGAATATTTTAAGAAAAGAGGACCCAGAAGACAGTTTGTAGCCATCTAAGAACTAGCCTGTTAACATGAGTAAGCTTTAGATTGGATAGCCCACGTTGCAGCGTCAGCGTGGAAACTAGTGCAGAGGAACTTTGAAATTGGGTTTTTGGTATAAGATCGATTGAAATGGAAAAAGAAAAAACCAGAGGGGACGGACTGCCACGATCAGATTTGACAAGGTACACAGGAAGCTGGTTGTCTCTGTGTCTGCAGGTAGTGACGTAGGTCTAAGTCCTTTCCACGCAACAGTGTTCTCAGCATTCAAACACCTGCTCCTTGAAAGGAAGGGGCGGTGAGCCCGTGGCCGCTGAAGCCACTGCGAGGCCTGCACGTGGTTTACTCTCTAGAACAGATGCTCGTTGGTGCGGTGCTCGTGTGTCATGCCGTTCGTGTTTGTGTCTTTTAAGTTGAAGGAGAAGAGCCAGGCGTGTGGTGGTAACATGGGGTCCATAGAAGAACTGCGAGGAGCCATCTACCTGGCAGAAGAGGCATGCCCCGGGATCTCGGACACCATGGTGGCCCAGCTTGTACAGCGGCTCCAGAGGTAACTGCCACCACGCTGCAGCCACGGTCTCTGCCTCCAGGGAGGACAGCCCCGTGGAGGCCACATTGTGTTGTCCTGGGCTTTTGTTGGCTGAGTGTGGGAACACCTGCAAATGGACTGACCTCCTACCCTCCCTTTGTCAGTTTGACACTTAGTTTCTAGTCTGTTCCTGTTACCTTCTTGTTCTTAATGAAAGAAATCTGTGTGAATGAAAGATACGAATCTGGAAATGACTGGGAAGGACCACAGAACTTTGTGCCACAAATGCAGAATGACTTTCACATATCTGCTCTGATGGTGCAGCCTAATTATCTAGTCCGTAGCTGGTTGTTGGTAATTCTCCATTTAGTTTTAAAGTCAAATGTCCCAAAATGCCAGCAGTTTGGGCTTGAGTTCAGTGAGAAGAGGTGCGGGTGTGCGCTTTTCCTTGGGTGGCCGTGCCAGTTCTCCGCTCTGCGCTGGCCTGCAGGGCTCCCCGTCCCCACCGTGGCCCTGATCGCGGGTGAGGATCAATGAACGGGGTCTCCCTACCCACTCTCTTATTTTATTTTTTAAATCCTCATCTGAGGACTTTTTTCTGTTTATCTTCAGACAGAGTGGGGCGGGGGGACATCGATGTGAGAGGGACACATCAGCTGGTTGCTTCTCACATGACCCGACCAGGGCCGGGGATGAACTGCAACCGAGGAACATGCCCTTGACTGGAATTGAACCCGAGACTCTTTGGTCCGCAGGCTGCCGTTCTAACCGCTGAGCCACACCGGCCCAGGTGCCCACTCTCTTGAGCCTGTAGAGGAGGTCACTCTGACTGCCCTCCCCCCACACCCACCCAATATAAGTACAGTCATTTGGGGTGTTCAGAGAGAACGGAGGTGTGGTGTCCAGCGGCTCTGTGGCTTCATCTTTCCTCCACTCCCCAAACCTTCAGTACCCCCGGGGCACGGGGCCTGTCACTGCTTTGACCTTCACCTTCAGGTGCATTGTTCAGGCTACTGAGCCCCATCCTAATAATGGCTGAGCCCTGGTGAGAATTAGGAGCATTGCAGGTCTGTTCTGAAGGGTCAGTACATAAAGAAGTCTGGGGTATGTGGGGTCCCCTTTACCACTTAGAAGTGATGATGGAAGGGGCCACCTGATGTCCTGTGGGACATCAAGAGAAAACCTTAACTCTGACCCTACAGGTGTGTTCTCCTGAACTCTCAGGTTCCTTCGTAAAAGACAGCCCAGCGCTCTAACTTGCTCCGAAGTTTAGGCTGGAGAATACAGACTTGACTTGGCTGCCTTCGATTTTGAGACAGTAGGCAGAATTGTTCTCTCCCCCAACCCCTGCCCCTTTGATACTAATAAATTACATAAATAAAGGAAAACAATAAAGTCACCATATCCTCACACAAACACTGTTGTTACCATGTTTGTGTGTATCTGTCCATTATGTGTTTGCAGTTAATTTCTAACATAGCTATAACATTTATTAAATGTTGTATCTTACATTATCACATAAGCTTCTCTGCTGTTAATAATGGTCCTTTTTTCTAATTTCTCAAAGAAACTTAGTATCACTTCAACACCTCATTTTAGTGGCATTTATTTCTCATTGGAAAAAACAACAACACTTAAATCTCAAAGAAATAGAACTAAACCAGAATCCAGTGGCATTTTCATCTTGTTTCGTTTTCTGCTATTGTAGTGTCACTTTTAGGACTGACATTTTCCATATTGTCCTAGATTGCCTGAAATTGTTAGCAGTGATTTATATATGTGACTTGATTTCCCTGCAGTTGCAGGGCTCAGGTGGTGTGGCCTGTTCGTGTGTAATTGGTTTGTCTCTCTGTTCTCCTTCTTTAGTTGCTTATATGAGTTGATCTGTACCAGTGCTGTCTAATAGGAAGATCATGTGAGCCACACATAGAATTTTAAATTTTCTAGTAGCCATGTTTAAAAAAAGCAGAGTCCTGGCAGGTGGGGCTCATTTAGTTGGAGCGTTGTCCCACACACTGGAAAGTTGCAGTTTGATTCCCGGTCAGGGCACATACCCAGATTTCGGGTTCAGTTCTCTCTCTCTCTCTCTCTTTCCCTCCCTCTCCTTCTCTCCCCCCCCTGCCCTCCCTTTTTCCCTCCCTCCCCCCTCCCTCCCTCTATCCCTAATTCCCTCCCTCTCCTCCTTCCCCGCTCTAAAATCAATTTACAAAAAAATCCTTGGGTATTAAAAATTTTTTTTAAGAAAAGGTGCAAGTGAAATTAGTTATAATTGTGTGTGTGTGTGTGTGTTTATTTAATCCTCACCAGAGGATACTTTTCTGCTTATCTTCAGACAGTGGGAGGGAGGAGGGGAGAGAGAGAGAAAGAGAGAGAGAGAAACATTGACGTGAGAGGGACACATTGACCAGTTGCCTCCCACATGACCCCAACCAGGGCCGGGGATGAACTGCTACTGAGGTATATGCCCTTGGCTGGAATCAAACCTGAGAGTCATTGCTTTGTGGGCCGACTCTCTAATTGCTGAGCCAAACCGGCCAGGGCTAATAATATATATTTTTAACCCACTGTATCCAAAATCTTATTTTAACATGTAATCAATATAAACAGTGTATCAGTAAGGTACTTCATATTCATTTTAGTACTAAGTCTTTACACTCCAGTGTGTGTTTACATTTTACAGCACATCTGGATGTGAACTCACCACGTTCCAGGTGCTCAGCAGCCATGTATAATGCAAATATAACTGCCTGCTGTCCACATTATGTGTGAGGTTTTCCTTTCCAGCGATGCGGCAGGCGTCCTGACTCAGCATTCTTTCTTTCTTCCTTCTCCAGACCATTCTCTTGTTTTTCTTTCCTTTGTGATGTGCGAACCCTCTCTCCTCCTGAGCCATCAAGTGACCCTGCTTCTGGGGTCCTTATCTGCTTCTTGCAGGCCTGGCTGGTACTGTCCGTTTACTCTGCCGGGCTCCCCAAGCTCTTCCTGTGCCCCCCCCCCCAAAGATGCTGCCAAACCACAGAGGCCCCCTCATGCTTCTTACTTAATTCCCAAATGCCTTAGTTCAATGTATCACCTCAAAAACGAGACTGACTTTTGTCTGAAATATTTCGAAGGCTTCTTGTATGTCTTAGTTTGAATCACTGTGGGGATCTGCTCCTCCCGGGACTGAGTCATTTATGTGTCTTGAAAAGTGTGTCTCAGGATCTGTGGCTAAAGCATGCTTTTCAAGAGGATCTTGTGTAACCACTGTTCTCTGGGAGAGTGCGAGTGTGATGAACACCTGGGGAGAGGCGTTCTAGGCTGGAATATTTACGGTCACTCATCTGCTGTGACTGGGTCAGTTTTGAGGTGTCTGAGGGATCTTGGCCATGAGGGGACCTCCCACCCATGTCCACCTTTTTTTGTCTTTCAAAGCAAGACAGTAGTGTGGAATTACTGGAAAACAGAAGAAAATATACATGATCCCAACACTAACCCGATTACCATTATCATCATTTTGGGTACATTGCCTTCAATTATATATATATATATATAAATATATATATAATGAACTTACTGACTTTTTACATTTCTGAAAACCATAGTGCACACATAATTTTTTGGATATTTCTTTTGTATGTTTTTAGGATAAAGCAATTGTAAAACTGTGTGTATAATTTTGCGCACACATTATTAACTTGTGTATAGATTTTATATTGCTTAAATATAATTACAATTTCTAATGTTATTTTGTTCATTTGCTTTATTTACTTAACCATTTCTCTGTTGTTGGACATCAGAGTGCTTCCTAATTATTAAAATTACAAAAATACGCTGAGAGACCGACCATTTCAGGAAGTGGATTGCCTGAACAAGCGTCAGTATTTTTGTGGCCAAAAGGGTTTCTTGCACAGGTACTTAAACCAGCCATGTCTGTGCATCCCTGAAATCTTACTGTCTTTGGGTTTTATTGAATTTCCAATTTGATAGTAAGCAAAAGTATATCACTTACTGTTCTGTTCATATCTTTTCTCTCTCCTGGAAGTCTGAACCACTTTGTCACTTTGTTGTTGTTAATCCTCACCCGAGGATATTTTCCCATTAATTCTTGGAGGGAGGGAGGGAGGGAGGGAGGGAGGAAAAGTGAGACATTGATATGAGAGAGACATATTGATTGGTTACTTCCTGCACAACCCCTCCTGGGCCAGGGATCGAACTCGAAACCCAGATAGGTACATGCCCCTGACCGGGAATTGAACCTGAGACTCTCCAGTCCATGGGCTTTTGCTCTAACCACTGAGCAGAACCAGTTGGCCAGGGCCACATTCTTTTTATTACATACTTTTGGTTCTTTAGTGGCTGAATTTAACCTGTCTGTGAAAATGCTTATGTTAATCATGATTTTCTTAATTTTTATGAATTCTTTATATAATAATCCATTGATAGTTGCTTCATATTTTTTTGTTCTTAATGACTTGGGAGTGTCTGTAAAAGTTAGGATTTTGGTTATTGTTTGAATTTTTGCAAATTTATTTTTTAATTTAGAGAAATAACATTTATTTACTTCTATTTCTCTCTGTTGTTTTTCTAGATATTCTCTCAGTGGTGGAGGAACTTCATCCCACTGAAATTCCTTTGGCATTTGGGGTTTTGTTTTTTCTTTCTTCTTCATCCTGCTCCTCTTAAAAAGTCAACGAGAGCCTTTGCTGACTCCGCTGAAGAGCTGCGCCGTTGAGGCTGTCCCCGCTGAGGGCTGTCCCCGCTGAGGGCTGTCCCCGCTGAGGCTGACCGTCCGGGGCCACGGATCCTTCCTCGCTGGCCTTGGCCAGATAGGTCTCTAGATGGGGTGGGGGGTCAGCTTCTTCCAGCGATCATTTTATTTTATTATTCTTGTTTTTAATTTTAACCATAGTGCACATATCAAGGAAAGTGTCTTTAAAAACAAACAAAACAAACCCTGAAATGTATATTTGGGATTATGATAAGGCAACTGAAGAAATGAAACCTCAGGTATCCTGCTTTAAGTTGTGCTCCCTCCCTGGGAGATGGAGAATCGCGCTGGCGGATCAGTGTACAGAACTGTATATAGTGTCATTTTTACGGAAACCCTTTTGGCGTGCATAAAGAATCACTGTGTACAAATTGGCCAAGTGCTTCTGTAGATAATGTCAGTGGAGTAAATATTTGACAGGCCATAACTTGAGTCTATTGCCTTGCCTTTATTACATGTAAATTTTGAATTATGTGACCAGTGATTTGGGTTTTATTTTGTATTTGCAGGTTTTGCCATTAATAATAATTAATGCCCCTCTTTAGGAACACTCCTATTTGTACCTCAGCAAATGAAAAATTTCCTCGTTTGCCCTACAACCCTTTTGGTACACTTAGAAGTTGATTTCCTTTTTCATTGATGGTACTATTTCTTAGTGTTTTAAATTGGAACATATCTTGCCTCACGAAGCTTTAAATTATTATTTTAAGTTTCTCCCCAACGAAGTGCTCTCGTCTAACATCCCTTTGGAATCGTTCCATCGCCAGCCCTGCGCCAGCTGTCCCGTTCTTTCCAGGATGATTTTGTTGCACCTTGTAGTGACATCTGCATATCATCTTTCCCACCTGAAATGTCTGAATGCTTACACGAATAAATTCTGTAACATTGATCTTGCATACTTTCCTTGAAACGTGGCTCTTGAGAGGCAGCACACCTGCCGTGTGTGTGTGTGTGAGTGATGTGTGAGGGGATGAGGTGCTCTAGGAAGTGCCCACATTCGGATGCTGAATGTTCAGGTTGGTTCCCTATGCAACTTTAAAAACTGGTCACCGAGAAGGTAGGGTTGACTACTGCTGATACGTAAAAGCTCTCTCTTCCCAGGGACCTCAATTAAGGATTATTTTGTTCTCATGTAGGAGCCTAGTTTGTCAGCCAGGTGTCTACTTTTCTTGGCTTGTGGCAGAGTCTTGCTTGCCAAAGGGGGAAATAAATATCTGCGTCTCTGGTATGGGAAATAGAGTCCTTACAGCAGCTTGACTGTGATTTAAGTATGTGTGGCACTTTTATATTTTTGATATGAATCATCGTCATGTCTTGGTGGTGTAGCAGTTCTTGAGGGGGAAGACAAAGGATTTTTGGAGGTAAGGAAATTACTGCGTAAACTTGGGGATGGAAGGTCAGATATCTGCAGGCCTGGAAGTTCCAGGGAGAAGACAGTGGCCTGAGTCAGAGACTTCTGAATTGGTGGTTACTGTTTAGATTTGTTAATGGAGTCTAATTTTTAAATTCTGAAATTAATTTTTTTTTATTAGGAAAGCATTTGGGTTGAATTTCTATAAAGGATACACTTTGATTAGGGGAAACAGAACTGTATTGCTAGTCCTTATTGTGCATGTTATTCTGCAGCAAGAATGTTAACTTGAACAGTTAATTTTGAGAATTTCATTTTGTGTTTCTGAGAGTGTTCTGTATGAGGGAACTTTGATTTCCCTATGTGAGGCATAAGCCAAAGATCAGTTTTGTTCATTGCAGAGAATCACTCAAAGAATGAGCAGTGTTCCCCAAAGTGCTTATCTGATTTTAAGAGACACAATGTAGATAGCAGTTTTCTGATTTAAAGTTTCTAAAATTTGCAAGTGGACAATGACATATGAAGACAGTGCTGAAGCCAATCTCAAATACGGGTAATGGTTAGTAGATACTCTGTAATCACTAGACTGTAATACACAATGCTGTCTCCCGGACAAAGCAGCAAATTACTCTTAGTTGATTGGAAGTATCTTCTGTTGATTAAGCTTTCTGCGAAAAATGTGGTTTGACTGGATGTTAAAAGTGGATCACCTCCTTACACATTCTCTTCTGATTTGTTATTTCTGTAGACACAAACTCGGCTTGTGTTTTTAAGGGCATCTTGTTTAGCCAAGGGGGCTAGCATTTGTGTAGCTACGTCAAGTCCTTTATTAAGAAAGACCAGGTACCAGAGCTACAATGGAACCTGCCTCCAACCACGTAAACTGCTGGTGGTGTTTAGCCAGACCTGTGAGCTCAGCACGCAAGATGGATTTACTAGCACTTGGAAGCCTCTGGATGCCAAACCCCAGCAGGGAGCAGCTCATCCACCGAGACTACAGATGGTGGTGGTGCTCCTAGGTGGGGACGCTTTCACACACACGCACAGTGATCGCCTTTGGAAACCGAGGCAGTGGGCCGGCCTGGAGCCTGACAGAGCCGGCCTCGTGATTGTCTTGCTGTAACCAAGTGCCACCTATTTTCCGAATCCGACAGTTTTGTTCTCGAACTGGTCTTGTTCGTACCTTTCTTTTGGCAAAACATGTGATCTGTTTATAAGCATTTTTATATTTTCTTCCTTAAAAACATAGCTTCTGTATTTCTGCTATAAAACACGGCAATAATGGGGAGAGCTGCGAGGTGTGTTCTGAGCATAGGTCTGTGTCACAAGGGTCAATAAAGTTCACAGAAAACAATTGCTTTTGTAATTTCGTGTCTTATGTGTAGAGGGAATAGACTGAATTTTGCCCCCCCTCCCCCACCCAAATGTATGTGGAAGTCCTGATGCCAGTGTGATGGTGTCAGGAGGAAATCGTTGGGTCATGAGGGTGGGGCCCTCATGCTGCAATCAGTGCCCGTGTGGAAGAGACCACAGGAATTAGCTGGCCTTCCGCCCTGTGAGGACACGAGGGCTGGCTGTGAGCCAGGAAGTCCTCACCAGACACATGGGCAGCACCTTGGTCGTGGGCTTCCAGCTTCAGGACTGTTCATAAGCCACCCACCCGCAGGGACAGCACGTCTGGCACCGCTGTGGGGCAGTCTGACTTGCCCACGCGCTTGGTTCAGGAGCAGGGAGCACAGAGGTGCTGCTCATAGATGTGAACCGTTTCCAGCCAGTGGCGGGGAATCCCCAGAAACCCTGAAGTGGGAATGAGCTGACTTCTGGAGGGAGTTTTCCTGAGCCTGCCTCTGCCGCCTTGGCCCTCAGTGCACTTGAGCGTCCCAGGTGCTGCTCTTGCCCCTGGGTTGTGGGGAAGCCTCGGAACCAACTGGTCTGCAGGGCTCCCTCCCTGTCTGCCCGGCCCTCCATTGGGTTTCAGTCGTCGTCCTATTGCCACTGAGGCTGTCTCCTAGGAACGTTCCGTCTCTGAGTGCCAAGTTGAAAGAAGCAGAGACTGTAAAATGCGAAACTTTTCAAAATGCCGTTTGTCCAACAGTGATGGAACCTGTTTTCCTTCACATTCGCCCTAGTGACCAGCCCACCCGCCCCTCCAGGCCCCAGCCCACTCAATGTAGATGAAAATAAAGCCAAGACAAAGTGGACTGTTTTGCCTTAAAACTTCAATATGCTGGATTGTGGCGTGAGGTATTTTTATTCCCTTTTGTTAGTACTTCAACCATCTGGTACACATTGTAAGGCAAATGATTAACACATGTCAAGCTGCTGGTCCATTTGTACATTGCCGTTTCCACGCACCCGGTCCCAGCTCCACGAAGGGGGCGGCCCGGGGGTCTCGGGTGAGGGCTTTCCCAGCGCCGGTGCAGACACGGAGGGCGCTGTGTTGGCTGGCCGGCCCTCTGGCCGAGGTCAGAGAGGACGTGAGAACATGGGAATAGCAGCCACCCGCTCTCCGCACTGAAGAGGCAAACAGGCTTTGCCTAGTGGGCCCAGCATCCTGAGAGCATGTTCCCTGTGTAGTCCGACTGTCCATACCCCAAACCCAGGGGAATGAGTATAAAAAAGGAAAAAGAATGTTTCTGAAGACAGGCACAAACATACTACCATTGGATGTGCGGTTCCAAACCGGTTGCAGGAGGATATAGGTAGGCGTGACGATGGGCACCAGGGGACTACGCACCATTCTTCGTAGTGTTTCTGCATCCACAGAAGCTCACAGACTCCATAACGTGACGTCACAGGTGGCCCTGGTTACTGACATACAGGTTTTCATGCTTGTGAAACAGACAGCAAAACACCACAGCTTAACATTCCCCATTGTATATACCACTCACAGTACAGCGACAGTCCAGACGTCACACTGGTTCCCCTTCTCCCAGCAGAGCGACCCGCGGCAGTTCGTGAAGCGTCACCCCTTACACAATTTGGTCAGCTTGGCCAGGACGTAGGTCCGGGGGCCAGCGTTTCATCGGAGCACGAGCCCCCGCGTGGGACGCAGTGTGCTGCAAGTCACTTACTAATCAAGGGAGTAAATCCAACTAACTTCCTATTATTACAAAAGTAGAAAGATTGAAAAAAACGAAATCTGAAAATGATCTCATTTGCCTAAGACTGTGCCAGGTGTATTGCAAACATCTTTTTTTAAAAAAATGCAGCAGCCTATAAAAAGAAAAAGAGCACTTGCCCTGTCTTTTGGTTGAACGGATGTGTCTGCACTGCTTTGAAGGTGCGGTCGTGGAGGGAAAATTGTCGTTTGGCACTCTATCAATGACATGTTCTTAATACTGGCACAAGCTAAGAACAGCCCGTCGGGAGGACAGGGCGCCACCGGCGGCGGGAGCAGTGCCGCTCGGCTGCGCAAGGAGCAGTGGAAAGACAAGGGAAGTGGCTCTGCGGAGACGGGCGCGGGCTGCTGTAAAACCACGCTCGTTTCCCAGACGGGTGTTAATGTGACTACGCTTCATTAATACAGAATGTCTGCCGGGAAAGCAGCCAACAGACCGTCCTGCCGTCAGTACGCGTGAGATTCTTTGTGACTCGGGACGTGGGCACGGGAGGCCGAGCTGGTGGCACTTCGGATCACCTCCATCCACCTAGAACGAGAAAGGGAAGCTGTCGAGGGCCACTTTTTATCAACTAATGTCTCTGGTTTTTTTTTTTTTTCTTTTTTTACTTGTAATCTGCCATGTTAGCAGATGAAGAGTTCGTAAATGAACTCGCAGCACCAAGTAATGGAAGGCAGGGTTGGGGTGCCTTCATGTGTTCCCCGGTATCAGTCCGAGAACCGCTGACCCCGGTGTGCTCCTCTTCAGCAAAGCAGCTGTGCCTGCCCGGTGCGGCCGCACACCCATGTGGGCAGGCAGGTGGCGCCCGGCTGTTCCAGGAGCCTCACCTGTAACCCTTCCCCCGACACCATGCATCCCGCGTGCTTGGCGGGAGTTCAGCTTTCAGAGACCTGGGAACACTGGCACTATCTGGGGACACTGTTGTTTGTCAGCGGAGGGTGTGCAACTGATACCTAGTGGGTAGAGGCCAAGGATGCTGCTGCTAAACATCCTGCAGTGCACAGAAAAGACCCCGCTGTGACCCTAACGCACTTTCTGGTCTGAAATGCCCACGGTGCTGAGGCTGAGAGAGCTGAGGTGTGCGCGGCTACCGCTCGGCTTTAGACAGTCCGTGATCACAGGTCTTTCTAGGACCTTACCACTGCACGACTAACTCACCTCGCCACGACAGTGACGGGATGCATTTTCGAGCCCAGGTCAGTGTGGGTCTTGCTATGCGCTGGGCTCTCTGCTCAAGCAGCGCGGAGACTGTTGTTGGAGCCCTGGTTTTAAACCACGCTGTCTGCACTGAACTGAGGCTACTGGGATTGTGCACAGGTCCAACCGGCCCAGCGATGAGAAACCCTTGTGGGTTCAGTGTCCATGGCTGGTGAGGGACACGTTGTCCTGTCAAGTAGCCAGGCCAGGAGAGGATTGCCCCTCCGTGGGGGTGGGGACGGCTGCCCTCTCTGGTCCGTGCTGAGCACTTGCAGGTGGTGCTTCCGCAGTGACAGCTGCTCGCGTGGCCTGCATCAGGAGGCCGCTCCAGAGTCTGCACTTGACACTGAAGCCACTGGTCAAACGTGCTAGCCTCGCCCCTTCTACTTTTCCTTTGTTTTTGGCTGAGCGAAGACTGCTGCCTGTGTCTCATACACGTGCGCAGTCTCACTAGGAAAGTAACTGAGACCCACTAGGATTCTGTCCCTTCCTCATGGGGTCTTTTGACTGGAATCTTAGCCTTTGGCCACGGCCAAAACAAATGTTAGGACTAAACAGCTACTGAAGCCACAGACGGACACACACACCTTAGAGATTTATACGTGCAACGTGCGTGGCATTGACTAACACTGGACAGGTTGGGGACGGAAGCTGCCTCCCAGGGGAGCCACGGTTCCACGTGCTGCTCTGCGGGAAGTGGACTCGGCAGAGCGGCCCAGATTTATTCTCGGCAGTTGCCAGGGTTGGAGGGACAAGCACGTTCCGGGTGCGGCGCTCCTAACTGCCGCTCGCTTGCCTGGGAGCAATCCTGCCGGTGCTCTGCGCAGAGGGGAGCATACCTTTCAAACGTGTATTCGCTTTCAGCCCGGAAGTAGTACACGTGGGACTTGAAATGCAGCTTGAACACGTAGTCTTTGTGGATGTCCTCAGACTCCGAGGGAATGGTGAGCGAATATCCGAGCAGGGGCAGGCTGGCGAGCGGGTGATTGTCCTGCAAAGGGTCCGCAGGAAGGAGCTTGGGAGAGGTGGCCACTGGCACTGAGCCTGGCCGCAGCCTCTCGCCCTGGAAGCCACAGCAGGGGGTCTTGGCCAGTGCTGTGGTCCAGCTGGTGCACCCCAGCCAGGACACAGCGTCCATTACGTTGTCCCCGCCCTAACCAACCAGCACCCAGGCTGCCCTTCAGCAAGTGGCCGTCAGCCTTCACTTCGAGGGTCTCATGGATACGGCCTCCTGCAGGACCCCTTTCCAGACCTGGCTGCTTCTCCCCATGCCTGTCTGGGCAGGTCAAGCGTAAAGTTCTTTGTCCTTCACAGGAAGGCTGCCTGCCCCGAGAGAGGGAAGGGCCCCGAAGGCTCTCCCCAGCCTGCACCCTAAACGTTCCAGGGTCACCTGCCCTGTGCGAGGCCCGTACCTGGTGTGACTTGTAGAAGAACAGGCAGAAGTTCGTGAACACCACCCACAGCTTCTGCCACCCGTTGCTGTTTTTGAATTTCCTCAGCAGGTTCCCAGACAACTGATTCTGAAAGACAAGTAGGCCTGTAGGAGCAGAGGTCGGGGCCCTCGGCAGCGTGCTGCAGCCTGGTCCTGTGGGGAGGACAGCTCAGTCTCCGCCGCCCAGTGAGGGGCTGTGGCTAGGAGTGGGCTTCCTGTGACTGACTGGAAATGGCTTTTCTCCCAGTAGGTGGACTGCATGAGCCTGGTTTGGTTATGGGTTGACTTCGTCCCCACCCTCCCCCAAAGACGGCGCCTTGGAAGTAGGGTCATCGCAGCTATAACTAGTTCAGAGGCCATCATAAGGGAGCAGGGCGGGCCCCTAATGCACTATGACTAATGTCCTGAGAGAGGACACTGCAGTGGTGTATCTGAGCCAAAGGACACCAAGGATGGCCAGCAGACCGGAAGCAGCAAGGGAGGAGCCTCCTCCGTTCAAGTTTTAGAGGGAGCTTGGCACTCTCGACACCTGGATTTCCAGAAGGTGAGACAATCTCTCTAAGCCGCCAGGTGGTGGTGCTTTGTTACGGCAGCCACAGGTAAGGCTCCAACACCCTCAGCAATAAGCCATCGAGCCCCACACCAGCAGCTCCTGGCTGCCATCTAGTGGCCCAGGCAGAACACTGGATTTTGGGAGAGAAGTGACCTCTCCCTGGAGATAAAGAGGAAACACTGGTAGAAACAAGCGTTCCAGGGCATCCTGGTGCTCCTGTGGTCTCCCAGGGGCTGCGGGACTCAGGCACAGGGCGCTCCTGTGGACTCCCAGGCAGCCAAAGCCCCTGGCACTGGCGAGGAGGAGGCCATCCGCGTCCCTGACGAGCTGGCCGGCAGCTCGTGACCAGGGAGGCTCGAAAGAGGAAAACGCACGGTGGTGATGGGACTGACCGCCACCGAATCGTTCACTGACAGGTGGGTAAAGACAAGGTGGCCACAGTGGAAACATCCATAAAACACAGAGTCTACTTGATTCTGTCCCTTTGCTACTTACCCAATAACTTGCACTTAATCTAATAAGCATTTTGAAGTGCACACTAAGTAAGCAGTTGAGACGGAAGGTGTAGATGTGTGCCCTCCAGGTGCTCGCGGCCTGAGGGGGACACACATGACTTAGGCTGACAGGACCTACGATGTAGAGCCCGTCCTGTTGATGGAGCCAAGCTGAACCAAGGGGGATGCCACAGAGGAAGGGGGTGTCCTCTCCCCGCATCTGGCTGCCACTGCCTGAAAGTGGGGTGCTCTGGCTCCAAGCGGGCCCAGCACAGCCAGAGTGGGCACGTGGTGCTCCTGCACACCACACGAGTCACACGGGAGGTGAGGGCACGTTCTCTTATGCTTCGTGTGCTTATAACGAACCAAACGACTGCCTCCAGATAGAGTCCAAAAGATCTGACGACGACCCCCGCCGGCCTTTCCTCCGCCTTGCCCTGGCTGCAGCTCCTCCGCTCCCCGGCCCCCGAGCTCTGCCCTCCTCTTTGTCCCTGCTCTCAAGAGGCTGAACCCCTCTGTCTGTGAGGATGACTCTTAGGCTTTCTCAAGGCGGCCCAGTCCCCACCTGCTGCATTTACGAGCGGCCCAGCCCGTGTCCTTGCCCCAGACCAGCCCACGTCCCATTTCCTTTCTTTTTTTTTAATCCTCACCCGAGGACATTTTTCCATTTTTTGTTCAGATAGAGTGGGAGGGAGAGAGAGGAAGAGAGAGAGAGAGAGAAGCATCGATGTGAAAGGGACACATCGAGTGGCTGCCACCCGCACGACCAACCAGGGCCGGGGACAAACTGCAACCGAGGTACATGCCCTTAGCGGGAACCGAACCCGGGTCTCTCCAGACCGCAGGCGGACGCTTTAACCGCTGAGCCAAACCGGCCAGGGCCCATTTCCTTTCAAGCAGCCTCCACCCCACACGCCCTGCCTGAAGGAAGGCCTGTTCCTCGCCCTCTCCTTGGCTCCCAAAGTGCCCAGTGCGTGTTATGTGTCCTCCAACATACACGTTCAAGTCCTGGTGACCTTATTTGGAAATCAGGCCCTTGCAGATGAAACCAAGTGAAGAGGGTGGGTCCTGATCCCAATAACTACTGTCCTTAGAAGAGGAGAACATGTGAACACACACACAGGGAGACGGCCAAGTAAGCTGGAGGCTGAGATCAGGGTGATGCGTCCACAAGCCTAGAACACCGACGACTGCCAGCCATCACCAGAAGCCAAGAGGTGTGGAACAGACCCTCCCCCTTGGGGCCTTAAGCGGGAGCCCACCTGCCAGCACCTTGTCTCCAAACCACTAGCCTCCAGCAGTGCTAAGCCGTGGGGAGCCTTTTTTCTGCCAAGGGCCTTTTGGATATTTGTAACGCTATTCCTGGGCCACACAAAACAATCAACTTAGAAATGGGCCTGCTGTATCTGTCAGGCTGATTTGGTGAGGTGTGTGACGTTAGCCGGTGTTGGTTTTGCAGGCCTCAGGTGGCCAGACGCTCCCCACCTGTGTTAGAAAATAACTCTGTGGCAGCCACAGAAACTGGCAGCCCCGCCCTGATCTCCCTCAGTGCTGCCCTCCATCCTCCTGACCCTCCCCTGGATCCAGAGCTCGCCCAGACTCCGCCACCTCCTAGCCCCAGTCGCAAATACTGACCGTTTCACCTCGCCCCTCCGGGTGAGGCTCCACGCTGGCCATCCCAGCGTCAGATCCCCATGCTCGTGCTCTCTGGCTCAGCCAGACCCAGCTCATCTCTGTGCTCTCCCCAAACACCCCCACTACTCATTTCCACCTGCACGAGTCCTACAGGACACAGCTGGGGGGGACGAGCGGAGGGCGATGGGAAAGCTGCTTCCTTCCCCGCGTCAGGCGGCAGGAGTCGGGTCTGGAAGAAGGGAGCTTGTCTGCAGTCGGGGTGCGGGGCCGTCTGCACCTGAAGGAGCCCACCATGGACGCCAGCCTGAAGGACACCTGGGGCAGGGGGTCTGGTGAGGGAGGGACATCTCCAGGGACTAGTCAATTCATGAGTCCTCAACCTGCATTTTGCCTTTTTTTTTTTAATCCCCACCCGAGGACATTTTTACATTTATCTCAGATAGAACGGGAGGGAGAAGGGTGGGGGAGAGAAACATCAACTCTAGAGAGACATTGAGTGGTCGTCACCCACATGACCCCAACCGAGGCTGGGGACAAACTGCAAGCGAGGTACATGCCCATAGCAGGAACCGAACCTGGGACTCTCCGGTCCTCAGGCCGACGCTCTAACTGCTGAGCCAAACCGCCCAGGGTGCATTTTACCATCTTAAAACCACACACCTACGGGCTTGCTTTCAGGCTGTATGGTTCTTGGCCAACTTCTCCTCCAAGGGCCATACAGTAGATATTTTAGGCTTTTTGGGCCAAGAGGCAAAATCAGAGATTTTTGTATTTGTAGTATCCATTCAAAAATAAAACACTAGCTAGGCTGGTGTAGCTCAGTGGATTGAGCGTGTCCCATGGACTGAGAGGTCCTAGTTCGATTCCTGGTCAGCGCACATGCCTGGGTGGTGGGCTCCATCCCCAGTGAGGGGCGAGTAGAAGGCGGCCAGTCGATGTTTCTCTCACATTGATGTTTCTCTCTCTCTCTCTCTCAAAGATCAATGAAAACATTAAAAATAAATAAAACTCCGTTCTTGGTTCATGGGCTGTAAACAGCCAGGGCTGGGCAGGATTTGGCCTGTGGGCCCCAGTCCGCTGGCTGACCTGGCTGCTAGAGTCACCTGACCATGTAGACAGAGGACTGTCACCCCAAAGAGCTGGCCTTGCAGAGGCGTCTCTGGGCCACCCAGGACCTGACAGGCGTGGCAGCTGCATTCTTGAATGATTTCTCAGGATTAAAAAGGTTTGAGCCTCCCGAGGCCCCACGCCCTGCCAGTGCCAACCACACCTCACAAAGGTGAGCAGCGCACAGAGCCAGGCGGACAAGCCCCCCCGCAGCGTGTCACTTCACTGAACTAGGCTGGACAGACTGGATATGACCAGGTGTTTTCCCCACCGGGCGGTCACTCCTCCGTGCTGGAGAGATCCCTGGGCCCTGGAAGAACCTCTAGCTGGCAAGGTACGTGCCCATGGCGAGACCGGAGGGAGGGTGCTGAGTACAGTGAGGCTGTCCCGTGGGGGCGGAGGGGAGGGATGCTCACTACAGCCACACGTGGCCAGCTGTGGCCGGGTAGCCTCGGACGGGTCCCCCTGAAGATGTCTTTAGAAGCAGATACGGGTTTGGGAACAATGCAGCAGGCGAACTCAAAGTCAGCAGCTCCATGGAGCTGTGAAGGTCACCTCCAGAGAACGATCTCGGAGAATCCCACAGACCAGCATCCATCAGGAAATGTTTGACACGCTCCTGATTCTGTCGGTTCAAAAAGCAATGGCTGCTCTTGGCACAGCCTCTTAGGGGACATTTTTGGGACCATGTGTCTCTAGGAACTCAGAACTTTTAGATTTTAGAAAGAGGATCGTGTCGACCACATGGCACCCCGGGCAGTGGGCTGGGGCGGCCGCCCAGAATCAAATACGACTGTGGGTGAAACATGAACGTCCACACACAACCCGAGCCACAGCCTCCCAACAGCTCAGGTCAGGCTCTGCTGCCAAGGGGACGGGCTAGCGGTTTCCAAGCTTTCCAGGTGTGCCGTTTTCTGAGAGGTCAGGGATCGCGGACCTGCACTGGAGGGTGCTCAGGGAGTGGGGTTTGGAGAGTTCCGGAAGGTTCACATCACAGTCTGGGGAGAGCCCGGCCGCAACGGTGACTCTGGACGACTCCCAGAGCCCGAGAGGGGCCGTGCCCCGGGGTTCATGAAGTACACGTGCCCCGGCCCTGGCTGGTGTCAGCTCTGTGGCCCTCCTGCCCCCTTGAACCCCTGTCAAGTGTGTGTGTGTGTGGGGGGGGGGCTGGTCCAGGACGGCAGCCAAGGTGCTGGGAGCTCTCCGTCCACCTGCACTGACCCGTTTAGGCCTCTGTGGGGCGCGCGCGCACACGCACGCAGGCAGGCAGGCAGGCAGGCAGGCAGGCAGGCAGGCAGGCAGGCAGGCAGGCAGGCAGGCAGGCAGGCAGGCAGGCAGGCACGCACGCACGCACGCACGCACGCACGCACGCACGCGGCTAAACGCCCGGACAGCCTGCCCCACGCTAACTCCAGGACCGGAAAGGAAACGAGACGGCAGGAGAACGAGAGCTCTGCGGATGGATGAGGCCGAGCGACGCGTTCGCGGAGGTCAGCGCTGCTCGCCCGCCGAGAGGCTGGACGCAGATGCTCAAAGGGACCGTCACCCTTGCCCCTGCCCCCCGCGCCGGCGCACGGCGGGTACCTCCACGGCCACGCTGAAGTCCACCATGGACACGCTGGTGTTGCGGTGCCAACACACGTGCACCATGGTGTTGCCGCGGTGCGGGGCCTGGCGCTCCAGCGAGGTGCGCGAGGCGCTGAGGTCGTCCTCTGACTCCTGGTCGGCCGCTGTGGCCTCGTCGGGGGACTCTGCGGGACGCGGTAAAGGCAGTGCTTTTGGTCTTCGCTGGCCAGAAGGCCCCTTTCCTGACCCCTCCCGGAAGCTGAATGGGCCTGAAAGGTTGGGGGCAAGGGATGTGGCCCCGGGGACCCCATGCAGCCACTGAGCAGGAATCACACATGCAGCCATGTGCTTGTCAGGGACCCACCCCAGGGGGCACCCCGCCAGCCCCTCTGCAGGGAGCCCCTACCACGCCTGGGCACTGGGCCCGCAGTGCTTGCCCGGCATGTGGATGGGCTTTTTTCTCCCTAGATGGTGACATTCCGTATGACAAGCAGCAGTGCTGGCCCAGAAAAGAGGACTTCCCTGCTCCGTCAGTTTTAAAGCTTTTTTTTTTTTTAACTATTTTTAGGAAATTCCATTTCCTTGATTTTTGGCTTTAAATACAAGTGTAGTCCACAGACATGAAGTCCACGGGCTAAGGAGACTTGAAATGCAATAGGACGCTGCCCTCGGTAAGCAGAACCCCCGCCCCACGGGCCTGTGCGCAACACCCGGACAGCCTCCCACACTTACTGCTGTCAGGGGGGCTGCTGGCGAGGAACTCGGGAGTGGGGCCGCTGCTTTTTTCTGCCAGATCAATGGCCATTTGTATGTCCTCAACCCACTTCTCCATCTCAGCCCGGGAACTGAAGGAGAGATGGGCGTTAGCTCTGCAGAGCACGGCAGGTGAAGGGTGAACAGGTGAGGTCCCCGAGTTACCTGGCAGCCACGATGATGGCCTGCCGCTGGCCCCGCAGGGTGAGGCAGTGGGGCACGCCCCACTCGTCTTCGCTGTTCTCTATCTGTGGGGTAAGCGTGCATAGCGTCATGCCAAGGAGCAAGCAAGACGCTCAGTGCATTTCAGATGTTCCCTAAAATGGCCACGGCTCAGGGAAACAAATCAGAAAATTAACTGGAAAGGGAAAGGATCAAAAGGCATTTTATCGTCTTTGGCAATGCCCATGAACTTCTCCTTATCCAACCACTGAGGAGAATGGGGGTTAAGCAGGGAAACAATCCCGTGCTAACTGGCCTGGGTGCATCTGCCAACCGAGGGTCATAGAATATGGACACCTGTCCACTGGCACACCTTGGGGAAGGACAGGTGGCTCCCTGGTCTATGTGTGGGCTCCATGACTTCATGTGGACAGGGAGGATGGTGTTTCAGGGCCCCCAGGGCCAGGCACAGGGCGGTGAGAGGCAAAGTCACCCCACCTGGCCATCTCATCTTGCCTCTTCACTGGATTCTAGAAGCAAGACCCCTGAGCATCCCAGGTCCCAGAGCCCCTCTAGGGAGCCCTAACAAGACCAGCTTCCCAAGGTACCTGGGATGCTCTCGCTTCCTTGTCAAGTCCCTCCTTTCCCTTCTTGTGTCCCTGTCACTGGCCCTTGTTCGGTTCAGCCTGGCCCACAGGCTGCAGGCAGCCCAAAGGAGAGGCCTTGATCTCACACCCGTGCTGCATACTCACGGTCATGCCATAGAGTGGGAGCTGCCCGTGGACTTTAAACTGATTCGAGACCGTCAGTCCCCGGCTCGTGTACAGCAAGACGTCGTTGAACTAGAGGAGCAAGGACACGTATGCTGAGATGCACAGGCTCCGTTTGAAACCACAGAGAGCAGAAAGTGTTTTCAAAATCGTGCACGACACTTCATTGATAACAACTCCGCTCTGGCTGCTCCTCTTGCCTTCCATGTGCCCCTCAGGCAGCGGAGGCCTGGCCCAGGCCCCGGCCCCACAGGCCTCGGATCAGAGTGAGGACAACGGGCTCTCCCTACTTACCAGGAAAAACATGCGCTGCTGAAGCCCCTTCCCGGAGAGCTTGCTGAGGCTGCCCAAGCGGATGAATTCCTGCAGAGAAACAGACCCTGAGAGTGGGCTGGGTGTGTGCAACCTAGGTCACCACGGAGACTGGCTTCCTCACACCAGTCCCTTTTCAAGCTGAAAAACCCTTAGTGATCATAGTAACTATTCACTGAACAACGTGCTACACCTTCTCCATGCTCCTCTCCTTCCCAGGAACCTGCCAGCAGGGACCACGACAGCCCCGCTAACAGAGAGGAAAGCAGCCCCCCGAGGTCCAGTGGTGTGCCTGCTGGTTCACAGGCCTCTAATCATGCACTTAACCCCAGGCCCTGCAGGCTGCCCGCTGGGCGGGAGGGGCAAAGTCCGGGCCAGGTACGAAGTGGCTGCAAGGGACCAGAAGACAGGTAAGACAGGAGAGCCCTGAACAGGGGCACCTCCTCCACGACTGAACTCTGGTTCTCAGAAACGAGCGGCTCTGCACTAGGGTAACAGTAAGACGCGAGCGAGTCTAAGGAACTCTGCCTCAGAACCGGAAACTCTTCGAGGGGATAACCAATATGGGGCCATGTAAGAAAAACCCCACAAAACCACCATTAACAAAAAACCATGGTAAAATACACACAGAATTTACCACTCGTGACCTTCAGTGCATTCAGTGTGCATCCATCACTACTGTCTAGGTCCAGAACTTTCCATCACCCAAAGGGAAGCACTGTGCCCACTGAGAAGCCATTCCCCACTCCCCTAGCACCTGGCAACCATCAATTTGTTGTGTGTGTGTGTGTGTTTATAATACCCCAGATTTTCCTAGTGTGGATATTTTACATAAATTGAATCATATACTATGTAGCCTTTTGTGTCTGACTTCATTCATTTAGCTTAATGTTCTCAGTTTCATCCACATCTTCATGTGGATCATAGAGCATTGCTTTCTGTGGCTGAATATTTCATCGTATGGACAGAGCATTTTTTCTATCCATTCACCTGTTGGTGGGACATTTTGGGGTTTCCCCTTTGGTTGCCATGAACAGTTGCCATGTACAATCACCGTCAAGTTTTTGTTTGAACACCTGTTCTCAATTCTTGGTATATACCCAGGAATGGAGTTGCTGGGTCACATGGAAACCCTCTGGTTAACTTATTGAGGAACCTGTTTTCCACAGCTCTGCTTTTATTTGTATTTTATTATTTTATTTTATTTTTGTTAATTCTCACTTGAGGACATTTTCCCATTGATTTTCAGCTACAGTGCAAAGGAGGGAGGGAGAGAGAGAGAAACATCGATGTGAGAAAGACACTTCAATCGGTTGCCTCCCGCATGACCCCGACTTGGGCCAGTCAAACCGGCAAGCTAGGTACATGCCCTTGACTGGGAATTGAACCTAAGGACCCTTCGGTCCACAGGCCAATGCTCTAACTGCTGAAACAAACTGGCCAGGGCCACTGCTCTGCTTTGAGAACACAGTTGCAGCCCTGGCCGGTATGGCTCAGTTGGTTGGTTGTTGTTCTGTGCACTGAAGGGTTGCTGGTTCGATGCCAGTCAGGGCACATGCCTGGGTTGCAGCTCAGTCTCCAGTGAGGGGTGTGCAGGAGGTGGCCAATCAATGTTCTGCTCTCATATTGATGTCTATTTTCCTCTCTCCCTCTCCCTTCCTCTCTCTGTATATCAATAAAATTATTTTAAAAAGAGAACAGTTATAAGTTCTTTGACATCCATTAGAGGCAGGGACTCTGCCCCCTTCCCTTGGATGTGGGTGGGCTGGTGACGGCCTTGAACAGTAGAGTATGGAAGTACCCTGTGACCTCTGAGACTATATCATGAAACTACATGTAGCCTTTGCTATGTCCTTGGAAACAACTGCTTTTGGAACATTGAGGTGCACATAATCAGTAAGGAGACCCCTGGGGTCTCCTGGCAGCCTCCAGACATCCCTGCCAGGTGTCAACCTTGGACCCTCCAGACCAGCCCTTCTGGGACCTCTGTCAATGCCCCATGGAGCAGAAGAATCACCTGGCTGAGCCCTGCCTAATTCCAGACTCCATGACACATACTAATAGGTTGTTTTCAGCCACTAATTATTGGGGTAGTTTGTTACATAACAACAGACTCCTGGAACACCTGCCAGGAGGTTTTTCTGTATTCACAGCATCTTCTGAGCCAAGAATAGGGACTCCGACAACTCATTTTGATTCTATAGACTTCTGCATGGCCTAACAATAGTTTGGTCCTTTATGAAATATGGATCAAAGACTGACTGTAATTTCACTGACATTTTGGAGCTCAACAAAGTAGCATATAATAAGTACTTACAGTGCTGTGGGATGGAAGTTATTAGACATAAACAATATGATTTGGGGAACTGGTGTCTAGGGGACCATGTCCATCCCTGACGGGCATCAGAGAACGAGAACAGTGACCCAAACATGCTGCTACCACTCCTGTTTCCACTCGTACACTTGTTGCCATTGGAACACATGCATTTCCTGTGGAACCTCAGGCTCTCAGCTGTAACCTGCACGGGGAGGAGAAGCCAGGGTGGCCGGGGGCCCTCACAGCTGACAGCCAAGGGAGCATGGTCGTGTGTGTGTTCCAGGGGCCGCAGGGGCCGCAGCAAAAGGGCAGATGTCAGTGTCTGAGAGCTGGAGATGGAAATGTCTCTGGCCTACAATATTTATTTTTTAAATCATGGAACGGGGGAAAAAAGCAACAGCCCTTAATAGCCTTAAGCTCAAGCTGCTTCCTTGTGGGAAAACCCATCCACTAATGTCCCGGACTCTGAGTTTTAACCAGATGATCCCCCTGCCCTGTCCCACCTCCCCATCCCTGCTTCCTTCCTGTTTTAATGAAAAAGAAGGGGCTCCTGTGGCCTAGGGGCCAGTCCAGGAAAAACTCTCAGGCACACAATCCCCAACATGGAGAGACCCCCAGGGAAAGCCCTGCCTTCCAGGACAGTGGTGGCAGGCCGACCCCAGCAGGAGGGCGAGCAGGATCACACCTGGGAGCCGCGTTAGGATTGGACTGCAGGTGGTTTAGGGGGCGTTCCTAGAATTATCTGCTCACCTTTCAATCTCAGCTTTTCTAATTCCACCTGTAGACAAATCTATCAGAGCCTTCTTCCCACCCATTAGGTTGATAATTTAACATGAAATACTGATCATCAATTGGCCTTGGCGTATGGCATGCCCCTTCCAGAACTCGCCCTCCGGGGCCTGAGCCCTCCTGCCCCCGCCGCTCAGGGTGGTTGTGAAATAGTGACTGGCTGGGAAACTACCTGACGAGCAAAGGAATATGCAGATAAGGAGGGTCTGCAGTTAGTGACCAGCACCCCTGTTCCGACCTCGCCTTTATGAATAACAATGCCCTTTTATTTAGCATGTGGCATGTGCCTCATGTGTGCTGCCTGGGTATATTAATGGGCTCATTCAATATTATCATCCCCATTTTTCAGATGAGGAAACTGAGAAGCAGAATGTTTAGAAACTTGCCCCATGTCACCCGGTCAGTTATGGGTGACAGAGCCCGTATTAAGCTAAATGCTCATGATGCCTCCACAATGTTGTGCTATGTCACCAATCACACAATACGTGTACAGTTAGTCCCAGGTAAATGGAAATGTGTTGGGGGCGGAGATAATTCACACTAACTCTCATTCGATCCTCACGAGCTAGGAAGGAGAGGATATGACCCCATGTTACAGAAGAGAAGAAACGTTCTGGTTGGTGGAACATCCCAGCTTCGGTGAAGCCGAAATTGGAACCCAGGGCCACCTACGCCAAGTCAGTGCTCACGGGAACCTCTCCTCTACATAAATGCTTTACAGATGGTCTGTTTGCCATGTAGCATGATATGCTAAATATGTTATAGCATCCAAAGTTAAGAGAAAACTACACTGATTCCACAGAGCTTTACAAAGAGTCCTGTGTGGATGGGCCAACGTGACTGTGGGCTGAGGCCTGGCAGGACCTTCTCCCCAGCCAAGCTGAGGCAAATCCCGGCTTTAATTTCTACCCAGCACTTAGCACATAACTCTTCTGACAACCTTTCACGAGTGGTTTCCAGTCAGGTTTGTGATTAGGCTTCCCGACAGAAATACCCAATACAGGGACATTCCCACATCTTCCCTCAGCGACACAGGGTTCGTTTCCAGGGCAGCTCCAGCTGTCAGATCAGACAGAGCTCTGGACACCTGTGTGGGGTTCAGCGGGGCATGCAGCAGATCAGAGCCTACAACCCCCTCTGAACCTGGGCGACGGACAGTCCAAGGTCGGGGAGCTCTGGAGAAAGATCCCGCAGAGAGTGGATAGGATGTATCACCGGGCTAATCGCTTTGACTCTGGGGAAGAGAACCGAAGAAAGGCGGCTACACGGTATCTTGATCGCTCCCGCTGGCCTGGAAGCGGCGCGTGGACACCACGGCGCACGCCTGTCCCGGGGAGGGCACCGCCCGGCGAGGACCAACAGCGGAGTGAAATGGCAGCTCTTCCAGAATCACGTTCTGGCTAACAGGTTATTTTAATTCCTAATTAAAATTACATTATGTACAGGAAATTGTATATTTTAAAAATAGAGTTCATACTTCCACGGGAATTTACAGCATGGTTTCACACACTAGCTTTTCCTCTGCCTTTGTATCACTATTTTACCCAATTAAAAATTTTTATCTTCCCTTTTCATTTACCTGAATCTCAATAAATAAAACAAGCTATCGCAAATCATCTCAGAACACGGTAGAGAAAAAAACTTCAATTCAGAAATGAACCAATAAGGAGCAAAAACAGAATACAAGGTCAAAGGCTTGCTTTATCTCCTTCTGACACAATTTTTGAACAACACTGTGATGTTCAAGGTTTTTCCCCCAGTGACCCCCCAGGGGGAAGGAAGCCACTTTAGAAGGAGGACATTTTAACGTGGAGTATCTGTATTCAGAGTGTGCAGGTTTAAGTCGATTAAATGTCGCTTGTCTGGCATTACCTCCAGTGCATGAGAGAGCACAGATGCTTACCCTTCCTGGAATCACAAGATTGTCGATGCCGATCAAATCTTTCTTGAGTTCGTGCAGCTTCTGGAAATTCTCCATCTTGATCATCGTGCCGTGAAGCTGTGCCACCATTTCCGTAATCTCTGCTAGAGCCGCTAACGAGAGAAACACACCCATGGCAGCATTAAGGGCAGACGCGGGTTTTTTCCCCACCGTCTTTGAGCTCAACTCTCCCGGGGAATACCCTGCAGCGGCTGCTCTACGCTCCATGCTGTCCTTTCAGGGAAAACACTGCTGTTTCTCACAAATAAAAACCGAGTGATTTGCTTTAATGGACTTGCTTTACTTCATGTATTTATTCGCTTTTCTTGCGCTTCCCAAAAGCCTCGTGAAAATGTAAATGACCCCTTCATTGCTCCGTGCTGTACAGCTGTCCTTCGGTCAGAATTGCTTGTTGGCAGAGAGGAAAACGGCAGGGGAGTAAGATTACCTAGAATTCTGTCCCCAGGGCAGAGATTTTTTTTTTTTTACTCTCCCACTTTCTCTGGAAAGAACAAAGTAGACAGAGGCCACAGAAAAATCTGGTCAACAGAGGGATCTTTCTGGGCTAGATAGAGTCTATTGATGGTGCAACTTCTGAGTAATGAATGTCTATTCCCCAGTATCACCTCCTGCAGAAATCATACTGTTCACCAAGATGGCTGCAAAGAATAACTGCAAAATGAAACTTTATTTTGCAATGTGGGCACATCTCCCCTGTACTGGCAGGCATCCAATATGTACAAAGAGCTAATGCCCAATTAGCACACGTCTGGGTGGCATGCACAGCCACCATGGCTGAGTAATTAGGCATTTAGGTATTTTTGTCAAGAAAGCAAGATATACTTGCCAATTGAATTTCAGTCATCAGAAAACTAAGCACCTCCTTCATCCCAGCACTCCACCTTTGGAAGGGGAACATTTCATGTTCTTGCTTTCTCCCTGGGGATGCAAATTAAACGCTTCCTGGCTAACCACAGAATGCTTTGTCTAAGCCACTGTGACAAACCCCAAGGCTTGCTCAATCTTCAGACAGCTACCAGCCAATTTAGTCCAATGAATAATCACTGGGCACCGAATGCTCAGTGGGCCGGGCGTGAGGAGCCCCTAAGAGGAAGAGGAGGGCACCCTGGTCCCTCGGGGTTCGAGGTACAGGCATCCTGGGAACAGGAACTCTGCGTCTCTGACATTTGGGAAATACAGGTCAGGTATACTTTGACTTCCCCAGCCTTTTTACAATGACGCTGCCAGATGGTTTAAGCTACATAACAATGCTTTTCCCATTTATTGTCAAGGACAGACTTTTCTCATTGGGGACTATTTAGTAAAACGCAAACTGGGCAAATCAGCCAAGGATAGCACATGCGAAACTAGATGTCTCTCTGCCTCCTGGGTGATGTGTCTGTACAGCTCCAAGTCGACAGAGCTGGGATGGCTTTGGGTCAACCTGTCCAGCCAATGCTGATATGACAGAACAAAGCAGGTGGGCGGAGAAGGTCATCCCTCCTCAGGGGTCAGGCAGGAACTGGGGCTTAAAGGAGGAGCACTGCAGGGCAGGACAAAGCAGTGGGTGGTGACTCTAAGCGGACAGGACAGAGAGGACGGGGCAGGAGCACCTTGGTCTGTCTTACAGACTGACTGTCTATAGCAAAGCAAACCACATCATGAGCATTTCTGTTCCTCTTCTGTGAATTGCCAATGTCTTAATTATTTTTTGCTAAATCTTCTCTTGGATTGTCTTTTTAAAAACTAATTTGTAGGTCCCTTCTATAAATTCTAGACACCAACAGTGAATGTGAGAATTCTCACATCACCATTCCCCTCCTTAAAACCCTTCATGGCCCTGGCTGGTTTTGCTCAGCGGTTAGTATGTCGGCCTGTGGACCAGGGAGTTCCAGGTTTGATTCCGGTCAAGGGCACGTACCTCGGCTGAGGTTGGTTCCCGGCCCCGGTTGGGGTTGTGCAGGTGGCAACCAATCGATGTGTCTCTCACATCGATGTTTCTCTCTCTCCCTCTCCCTCCCTCCGTCCCACTCTGTCTGAAGATAAATGTAAAAATATCCTCAGGTGAGGATTAAAAAAAAACACAAACCTTCATGTCTTCCCTTTAGCAGGTTGAGGTCTGCAAGGGTTTATGAGACCCCATGGGATCTGGTCCCTGCTTACTTTTCCAGCCTCAGTGCCGCTGCCATCCCTCTGCATTCTACACAGAACTTCTACCATCTAGAACATTCCAGTCGCTGTCCCCTTCGGACCTCTGTACCCGCGGTTCCTCACTCTATGCTCCACACTCTGCCCTCATCCAAGAAAACGCCTGTTTATGCTCTAGCCCTAAACTTAGCTCTCCTTTCCCTCAGCAAGCCCCGCTAAGCCTGGAAGGTGGGGTCAGAAGCCACCAACCCCACCGCGTCGGGCACTTCCTCCCACAGGTCAGTTGCCGCCCAGAACCCGCCTCTGTGCCCGAGTGAGTTCTGAGTAGGGACCACATCTGTCCCCGTCTTTCCAGTATACCGAGTACACAGCAGGTGCTCGATGCGCATCTGTTACAGGAGAGACTGGTCAGCGGCCAGATCATGGAGAGTTCCGACTTGGGCCTGAGGGAACTGAGTGTCACCCAGGTTTAAGCAAAGAGAAGATGTGTTTAGAAAATGAGAATACAGGAGACTTAAGAGATGGGAAGTACTTATAATATTTTAGGTGAGAAATACAGGCCTTGACATACGAGAGGGTGAGCGAATTCGTGTAATTGTCAAAAGCCACCAGCCCAGCCAGAGAGTACAGGGACACGGGATCAGACCCCAGGGCCTGGGCCCTCGAGGGCCGGCGGTCCAGGGCAGGCACTGAAGACATTAACAGACCGCACATCACACGAGACCAATGAACGGGTCACAGAAGACGAGTGGCAGTGAGGAAGGCATGAGCTGGAAGGCCAGCTCTGACCTCTGCCAACTGAACGGCACTCACACGTCCCTTACCTCCTTGGAGCCTCAGTTTTCTTGTCTATAAAAGGGGACTGCAACATTGTTTCATGAGGTTGTTGAAGGGGTAAAGGTGTTGACGTTAGTAAGATACCTGGCACAGTACCTGGCCCAGGAGCTGAGTGAGTGACAGTGGGTAATATCATCATGAGACAGGAGGGAGGATGGTCAAGAACATGGATTCTGGGTTTAGGTTACATCATTTACTTTCCAGCTATGTGACTCTGGGCAGGTTCCTTAACTTCTCTGGTTTCAGTAGTTTCCATATGTAAAATGAGCTCAGCCCTGCCCTGTGGGTGAGTTCTGAAGATTAAGAATTAATTTGGCCTGGCCGGTGTGGCTCAGTGGCTGAGTGCTGACCCATGCATTAAGAGGTCACCGGTTTGATTCCCGGTCAGGGCTCATGCCCAGGTTGTGGACTTGATCCCCAGTGGCGGGCGTGCAGGAGACAGCCAAATGATGTTCTCTCTCAACAATGTTTCCATCTCTCTCTCCCTCTCCCTTCCTCTGTCTCTAATATATCAATAAAGAAATAAAAATAATAATAATAAAAAAGAATTAATTCGGGTGAAGTGCTTAGCAAGGTGTGCCCAGCAGCAATGAGCACTGTTTCTTACACGCCACTTTCCGTGACCAGTCCACGGAGCGAGGGATGAGTTTCACCATGAAGGTGGGGAAAGGTTCCTGGAAGGGGTGACTCTAATGTAGCTCCTCCAGGGTTCTCTGCCCTAAACCACCCAGGATCAAAGGAGGGAGACACCTGCAAATGGGGAAGGGAAAGAGAGATCCTAATCATCATCACTTTCTTTATGGAACGATCAAGAGATAACAGAAAATATTTGACCATGTACTACAAATGGTGGCTGCCCTGCCTGACTGTGAAAACCTGGACACAATGCCACCAGCTCCGCCCCCGAGGCCTGGCCCTGGCGGTGCCTGCTGGACTCACCGCGGCAGTCCCTGAAGTCGGCGTGGTTGGGCGGGTTGTGCTTGCAGAGCCGCTCCAGGACCTGCTTGTAGTGCATGAGCCGGTGCAGCGGGCGCAGGAGGAAGGTGTTGAGCGGCAGGTAGCATACCTTCTGTAGCTCGAAGTCTCTGCACAAGTTCTCCAGCCGCCGGGAGCCCCGGATGCTGGTCTCCAGGGCCTCCAAGGCCTCGCCGTGCTTCCACAGGTGAACTGCCAGTTGCTGGAGGGGTGAAAGACAGGGTGGAGGAGGGGCCCTGCCCAGCTGAACCAAATGTGCATGCAGGGCGCCCACTGACGGCCAGAAACGACGCTCACCTCCGCCGTTCATGCTTTCTTTCATGACAGCAAGTTCTCGGGATGCAAGGACAAGCTCTGTTAAAGCACTGAGCAGGACATACACAGGGCTTATAAAGCAGGAGACATATGTATCACATTAGAGGTGTAAATGTCCTTCCCAAAAAGAGTGGCAAAACCGAGGGGAAATGACTGAACAGGAGCTCCTTCGGGGGCTGTGCTTTTCTTCCACATGTCCCAAGTTGACAGATGGACCAGGGCCACTCAGTAAATGTCCTCCAGTTACAAAGACATCTTTCTCACTAACTTCCTGTCTGCTCATACAACAACCGAGTATCTGCCACAAGCCACCTATTTGGCTAGACGAGAATTAGATGTGCTCCCTGCTGCTCTGGGGTCTGACCAACATCCTTTGCTTGCCCAGACATTGGTCAGGCTCCAGAACCTTCTCCCAGGCCCGTCTGTACACTTCCATGTAAATCGAGTTTTAGCAAGAACCCTGCTACGGCAGTTAAACCAGAACCCCCCACCCCGGATATCTCGTCACCCACGACCTCCCACCGTCCCTCGGATGATGTCTGACCACCCTGTCCTGTCCTCAGCAAGGATTCCCCCTCACCCCGAACGTTTCCTCTTAGAAGTTTTCCATCCTCTGACCCCCACCCTGCTCCTTGGCTGCAAGTTCCCACTGCCCACGCTGTGTTCAGAGCTAAGTCCAATCTCCCCGCTGAGAAACCCCACTGCGGCGGTCCTACCTCGTCCGTGACGGTCCCGAATCAAGTCTGCTTTAGCATCTTTAACAAGGGTTGATTGTTTTTTTCCTTTAACAAGTCATAGCAGAGGCAGAGACAGGTGAAACGTTGAATGGTAGCGTGTTAGAAAGGAATGAAGTCCTCATGAAAACAGGGACGAAATACAAGGGAGGACACTTCCAGACAGACAGGGTGGGGGACAGGTGACACCCCAGGACTAGCGAACAGTGGCACCTCCCAGGGGTGGGCTTACTATCGGCGCTGCTGCCAGCCCCACCCTGAACCCTAACCGACATCTCCACTCCCACGCTCCAGAAGCGCAGTGAACCCTGACACAACCCAGCACCTGCTGCCTCACAGGCCGTCCGTGTTCTCTGTCTCCGGGATCCGTGCCACATCGGCCAGGCACTCAGGACAGAAAATGCTGGAGAACATTCGGATTCCCTCATTTTCTGAATCCTTCCAGTCCTACCAGTTCTACCTCGTATAACCGTCAAACCCGTTCCCACCTTCACCCCCAAGGTGCCAGGCCTTGTGCTTTCATGGAGTCTCCACCGGAACCTCTGCCACCACTCCTCACCCCTCCGCCTCCTCGCACATCCGCCACCACCACGAACTTCTCAGGTAAACCGAGCACGTCGCCTCCTGCTTGGATACCCCGAGAGCTCCCACCATCTCGGGACGACCCCTGGAGTCGTCAGCAGGGAGCACAGGGCTCTCAGGATGCAATCCCTCCTACCCCTCCGTGGTCATCTCTTCTGCTCGCCCTGGGCTGCCCACCGAGCAACCTGCACTGGAAAGTACCAGAGCCTCTGCCTAGGACACTCCCTCCTAACACACCTCCACCCCAGCCCACCTCCCCTGCAGGCCTAGCTCTGGGGCCTTCCCTGACATCCAGGCTGAGTCAGGACTTGGCTATCCCCCTGTCCTTACACTGTGTTTGTCCATCCTAGCCCTAATCACTGGCCTTCCCTGTAGAGTTTATTTTGTGATTTTAAAATAATTATATAGATTCACAGGAAGTTGCAAAGAAATGTACAGGGAGATCCTATGCACCTTCACCTGGCCTTCCTAATGCTAACATCTTGAAGAATAATAATAGCACATCACAGCCAGGAAATTGACAATGGTATGATCCCCAGGGTTTATTTGGATCCCACCAGTTCATGCCCTCACGTGTGTGTGCAGGTACATGTATATGTGTGCATGCACATAGTTCAATGCAATACTATGGCATGGGCAGTCCCCTGTTTGACTTTGAGAGTATATGTCATGTTGCTACATCCTCAGGGCCCACTATACACAAGAAGGCCTCAATAATTGCTTGTTGCTCACATGCATTACTGAACAAATGAACCAAAGCACGCATGCAGCTGAGGCAGAAGTCCTGCAAAGATCTGAGTGCATGAAGAGGTGAGTTCATGGTCACCGGAACACAAAGTAGAACGTGAAGAATGGCAAGAAGGGGTCTGTAAAGACTGTCTAGGGCCAGAGTATGAAGGTTTTTTCATCAGGTTTAGAGTTTGGACTGTATTCTCCAAACCACAGAGAGAGAGACAAGGAGGGTTTTGAGCCTTATCACTCTGGCTATAATATAAACGCTGGTATAAAGACACAATGGGAGGTGAGGAGACTCATCAGGAAGAGAACAGAGCCAGGAGGAGTAATGTGGCAGGAGTTTAAGAAGTAGACAGGGCCCGGTACGTATGGCTCAGTGGACTGAGTGTCATCCCATGCACCAAGAGGTCACCGGTTCGATTCCTGGTCAGGGCACCTACTCAGGCTAAAGGCTCAATCCCTGGTGGGGGTATGCAAGAGGCAGCCAATGTTTCTATCTATCTCCTCCTCCCATCCCCTCTCTAAAAATCAATAAAAACATTAAAAAAAGAAAAGGAGATGGGGAAGGAGTTAGAGGCCTGGGGAGACCCACTCAGGTGTGAGTGAAGGTCCCAGCCTGGGTGAATGTTGACGTGCCTTTGTGCATGTTGGCAGATGTTTCCAAAGGAAGTTCACTGTGTGGGCCAGAGATCACGATTTGGCTACCACTGAGCCCCTGGCAACAGCTGAAGGGTAATGACAGCATCCTTGCTGAGCCTCTGCAAATGCAGGTAGGCACACAGGTCGGGAAGGGGCGGACAGAGTGCAGGCGGGAGGTTACCTAAGCTAACACGAAGATCACAAAAATGCTAACCTGGGCTTCGGTGTCTTGTGCTGCTCCCTTCCACACTTCATAAAAACTCCTTAAAACCAAAAATAACAACCACAATAAAAAAAACAACAACACACAAAAAAACACAATTTCTCCCAATGTCTGCTGGTGGCTCTCTGAGCCTCTCCATCTGTTTGGCTTCCGCTTGTGCAGAGCTCCGCGCTGTCAGCACTCGGGGCGTCGGCACAGCAATGGAAACGGCCGTGCAGCCCAGGGAGCTGACCAAACGCAAAAATGCCGACTCACCAGACGGAGAAAGAACTGCTCTGAACGGAAATTAGGTATATTTTTAGGTCTTAGGAGCTAGATGAACGGAGAGGGAGAGGAGGGCGGATGTCTACTGAATGCCAGCTCTCCATGGGAAGTCAGCAGACAGGCCAGAGAGGCCGCAGAGGAGAGCTGGTAAACGGGAGCACTGGGGACTGTCCCTCAGGGGCTGCGGAATGAGCTGGCGGGTCTCCACGGCTGTCCCCAGGGGCCCACGGCGGAGTCCAAGCCTCCTTGAAGGGCGTCAGCTCAGGCTTATGATCTCAGATGAAGGGAACACGCTGTGAGAAAAGGCAAAAACCCAAACGGGGCCAAGAAAAAGTGCAGAATATGGGAAAAGAAGCTTTCTGGGAGAAAAATAGTTGGGAAGTACAACAGTAACAAAAACATGTCATAGAAGAAAGCAAAAAGGCTACTTTTCACAAGTGACAAAAGCCAGTCTGAAAAGGCTACACAATGATTTCAACTCTATGACATTCTGGAAAACACCAAACTATGGAGATAGGAAAAGATCAGTGGTTGCCAGGGGTGGGGAGGTGGGGAGGTGGGAGGGGGGAACAGAGCACGGAGGATTTTAGGGCAGTGAAACTCTCCTGTATGATGCTGTCATGGTGGATATGTGACAGTGTGCACTTGGCAAAATCCATGGAATGTGCAACACAAAAAGGGAATCCTCATGTAAACTACGGATTTAATTAATAACAATGTAGCAATATTGGTTCATCAGTTGTAACAAATTTGTCACACAAATGTAAGATGTTAAGGGAGAGACTGTGTGCATGTGTGTGTGTGAGAGAGAGACAGTCAGTGGTAAGAATAGAGGGTTATTATGTAATTCTTATATAATATATATGTAAATTTTTTAAAAACCACCATGAAGAGCGAAAAGATGTCTGTTAAGGTCACATCTGAGTTTTGTACGTCAACCGCACCTGTGGCATGAACAATACCCCAGTGGTGGAACATCTTAGATAATTCTTGCTCTTTGTTTTTGCATAGGATTCTGTAGCCTGATCCCTTCCATGGTCTCTGTTTGAGATTGCCCAGAGGGGAGTGTTGCTTTCTGAACACCATAAAAAAGCAAGCGAACAATATCCTGATCTTTTGAAAGACACAGGAAATCTCTTGAGAAGCTTTAGACCCTGTCTCTTCTGTGCCATGCACCCTTCCCCCCAAATCCTCACCTTGTCCTATCTCATGAAATTATCTAATTCTAAAGGGAAAAAATTACACTCTATACAACTTAGCCAGATTCTTGGGAATTAATTCAACCCCAAACAGTAACTTCTATTCTATGACTGCCTAATACGTAGTAGGTACTCAGCTTACTGGATGGACAGTTGAATGGTTGGACGATTAGACAGATTGAAATGGTGAAAGTGGGAGCAACCTGCCTTCTTTAGGGGTTTATTAGGTTGCTCTGGGAAGTTATTAGTTAAGGTTATCAGACAGGATCTGGGCAGCTTAGACACAGGAAGATTGCTTTAGAATGTGAATGTCGCCTGACTGGTGTGGCTCAGTGGATTGAGCATCATCGTCCCATGGACTGAGAGGTTCCGGTTTGGTTCCCGGTCTGGGCATGTACCTAGGTTTTGGGCTCAAAACCCAGTAGGGGGCGTGCAGGAGGTAACCAATCGATGCTTCTCTCTCACATTGATGTTTCTCTCTCTCTCTCCCTTCCTCTCTCCCTAAAAACCCAGTAAGAACATATTTAAAACAATATGCATGTAGATATATTTGCATTTGAAAGATGAATTGTGTGAATTAAAATATTTTATGTTAAAGGAATTACTCATGGATTAAACTGAAAAATGCAAAAGTGAAAGTTTCAGATATAAGACATGGGGCCGATATAGAAAATGAAGTAGAATATTGATTCAATATGTACTGATTTCTTTGGATATATTTTCACTCTCCTGTATCATTACTGACGTCGCTGAATGGCTAAAAATATGTTTTCCTTGTAGACTGACTTTTTAAAAACTTATCTTTATTGTTGAATGTATTACAGATCCCTCCTCCCCACTCTCGTCCCCTTCCTGCCTTTTCCCACAATGTTGTCTGTGTCCATTGGTTATGCATATATGCATGTAAGTTCTTTCTTCCCACCTTCCATCTCCCCCCCTTCCTTTGAGGTTTGTCAGTTTGTACTTCTTAATCCCTTCACCTTTTCCACCCATTTCCCCAACCCCCTCCCATCTGGCAACCAACAAAACGTTCTCTATCTGTGAGAATGTTTCTGTTCTGCTTGTTCATTTTGTTTGTAGATTCAATTGTCGATAGATATGTATTCATTGCCATTTTGTTTGTTCATATTTTTTATCTTTTTCTTCAAGAAGACCCTTCAACCATTTCATATAATGGTTTGGTGGTGATGAACTCTTTTAGCTTTTTCTTGTCTGGGAAACTTTTTATATGGCTATCGATTCTAAATGACAGCTTTGCAGGATAGAGTAATCTTGGTTGTAGGTTCTTGCTTTTCATCCCTCTGAATATTTCTTGCCACTCCCTTCTGGCCTGCAAAGTTTCTTTTGAGAAATCAGCTGACAGTCTTATGGAAATGCCCTTGTAGGTAACTAACTTGCTTTTCTCTTGCTTCTTTTAAGATTCTCTTTTTGTCTTGAACCTTTTGCATTTTGATGATGATGTGTCTTGGTGTGGGCCGCTTGGGGTTCATCTTGTTTGGGACTCTCTGTGCTTCCTGGACTTGTATATCTGTTTCCAAGTTAGGGAAGTTTTCTGCCATTATTGTTTCAAATAGGTTTTCGGTTTCTTGTTCTCTCTCTTCTCCTTCTGGCACCCCCAAGACGTGAATGTTGGCATGCTTGAAGTTGTCCCAGAGGCTTCTTGTACTAGTCTTATTTTTTCTAATTCTTTTTTTTTTTGCTGTTCTGGTTGGGTGTTTTTTGCTTCCTTATATTCCAACTCAATGGTTTCCTTTTTGGCTTTACCTCCTCTACTATTGAATCTGTGTCAATTATTCTTTATTTCAGTTAGTGACTCCTTCATTTCTGACTGTGCATCCTTCATTTCTGACTTCTCCTTTTCTATGCTCTTGAGGCCTTCACTAAGTTCATTTAAGTTCTCACTAAGTTCATTGAGCATCCTTATAAGCAGTGTTTTGAACACTCCATCTGTTAGATTGCTTATCTCCATTTCACTTAGTTCTTTTCCTGAAGTTCTGTTCTGTTCTGTTCTGTTCTTGGGACCTGTTCCTTTGTCTCCTCATTTTGACTGTGTCCCTGTGTTTGTTTTTATGTATTACTTAACGAGAGGTATGGGGCTAGCTGAGACCAGATGCTGCTTGTTTGAAAGAATTTAGGAAAACCTGAAGCAGGATCCAAGAAAGATCAATCCTATGATAAAGCAACTGGCAACAGCTTGGGTGGGCCTGAAAGTTGGGTGGGGCGGGGCCTCAGGGAATCACCAGGGCGGGGCAAACAGTGTGATATGGCGGCTGTCTGCTGCCCTAGGGAAGGGCCCCAAAGGAACAAAGGCCTCTGACAGCACATCTGTCCTGGAGAAAGCCCCCTCCCCAGCCCTCGCTCCAGTGCCAAACAGCTCAGTTCTTCCCTGTATGTCTCTGGCGCCCCTCAAGCTACCTCCCCCGCTGGAGCCTGCGGGAGTGGGTCCGAGTTAGTTTATGTGTGGGCCCTTTAAGAGGAGCTGCCTGGGGCTCCAGCCGCCTCAGCCTCAGTTCTCACTGGTTTTACAGCCAGAAGTGATGGGGATTCTCTTCCTGGCACTGGAACCCTGAGCTGGAGGCCTGGTCTGGGACAGGGACCCCTCAGTCCTCAGGGAGGACCTTCCCAGCCAAGGTGTCCTCCTGAATTTTATCCGTCACATGTAGGTGTGGGACCAGCCCATCTACCCTTGCCCCTCCTACCAGTCTCCATGCAGCTTCTTTAATTCCATAGTTGTAGGACTTCCATTCTGCTTGATTTCAGGCGGTTTTGAATGATGGTTGTTCTGTAGTTTAGTTGTAACTTTGATGTGGTTGTGGGAGGACGCGATACCGTGTTTACCTACGCCGCCATCTTGACCGGAAGTCTACGCTGACTTTTTGTGTGTGCGTGTGGCACGTGTCCTTAGCAGGAACGAACCCAGGACTCTCTGGTCCGCAGGCCGATGCTCAACTGCTGAGCCAAACTGGCCAGGGCTACGCTGACTTTTGAAAGTCATAGACTTGACTGGAATTGCTACACAGCTCTGAGCCCAGTGATCTGTCATGCTTACAAAGCCAAAACAACTGACTAAATATGAAATGTTCAGTCAACCAAGGTTTTGTCTACATAATGGTTTTTTTTTAATCCTCATTCAAGGACATGCTTAGAGAGAGGAAGGGAGAGATAGAGAAATAAATCGAGTGGCTACCACCCACACGACCTCAACCGGGGCCGGGAACAAACTGCAACCAAGGTATGTACCCTTAGCGGGAACCGAACCCGGGTCTCTCTGGACCGCAGGCTGACGCTCTAACCGCTGAGCCAAACGGGCCAGGGCTCTGTATGTGCCCTGACTGGAAATGGAACTGGAAACATTTTGGTGCATGGGACAATGCTCAACCCGCTGAGCCACTCCAGCCAGGCTGTCTATATACTTAAAAAAAATTATTTATTTATTTATTTTTATCCTCACCCGAGGACACTTTTTTTTTTTGTTGCATTTATCTTCGGATAGAGTGGGAGGAAGAGAAGGAGGAAGTGAGAGAAACATCAATGTGAGAGACACATCGAGTGGTTGCCACCGACACAACCCCAACCAGGGCTGGGGACAAATTGCAACCGAGGTACGTGCCCTTAGTGGGAACCGAACCCGGGACTCTCTGGTCCGCAGGACGAAGCTTTAACCACTGAGCCAAGCCGGCCAGGACTACATACTTTTTTAAAACAAGTTTTGAAGTATCTGCTCAATGAAAATACCTGTTTTGGTTACAATACAGAGCTTTTGAAGAGAAAAAAGTACTCAGTGCTGCTTCTCCCGAAGTGACTGGGTTTCCGTTATGCTCCAAAATGAAATTACCCCACTTGGTGGTGCAGACTGTCCCATCAGGCACCATGTGTCCGTGCGAAGGCTGTCCCAGCTGGCTGACTCCGGCAGCCCCACATTCTTTTCCCTGGGGAACCTGCTCTGCCAAACCCCAAAGCAGCTCACCTTCATGGCCTGAATGTTCTTCAGCATGACATCTCCGATTCTTTGGTAATCTCCTCTGATGTGGGCATTTGAGCGGCCTTCCCTGCAGGCAAAGGGTTGGAAACCAAAGGGTTATTAGCACTGAAAACGTAACTGGAAAATGTCCCAGCCCTAGATCACAAAATATCAAAACGGAGGCCTTCTTTCCCAATTGCCTCTCTGTACCTCTTCTCCTCTGGGGGGGTCACAGAATGTGGGCACTGGCAGGAACCTCTGACATGACCCCTGTCATTCTGCAGACAAAGAATTGCATTTGCGCTTTGAAAAGAGACAGGGCAGACCATTTTCTGACCATTACAATTTGGTCTCATTTTACATTTTCTTTCCATCCACCCATCCATTTCAGTGTAATGAGAACAGCACAGAGATCATTTGCAGTAACTAGCTCACGAAAACAAGTCCGTTCCACAGACTGGGACTAATAGACTTGTAAGAAGCAAGACAGCTCCCCAAATCAAAGTTTCTGCTCCCGAGAGACCTTAGCGTGAAGGAATTGTGTGAAGAGCCCTTGAGAAGAGAAAAGGATCAATGAGAAAGTGCACGAGACTCATGAATGGAGGTTAGAATGGGAAAAATGATCAGAAGGCAGGATGGGGTCCCAGGTACAGAGAAGGGCAGGGAGGGAAGGGACAAAGGTTCCCCAAGACGAACTGGGCGGGCATTTTCAGTGAGTATTTGGGTACATATTCATATTTCTAATAGCTCAGTGCTTTAGCCGATGTTGATAATCCAGGGGCTTAAACGACAGAGGGAAAAGTGATCATTATAGTATCTAGTACTCATCGAGTGCAGCCCACCACGCTGAGCACATCACAGACACTAACTCCTCTAATGCATGGCCGCAGTCGGCAGTGGTATGCGCAGGCACCATCACGCCCTCATCAGACGGCTGAAGAAGCCGAGGCACACGGAAACGGCACCCCTTGTCCAACGTCAGTCATCACGAGACAGTGCGCTTTGCACCTGAGCCCAGGAGTCCAGTTAGAGTCTACACTCCTCACCATGATGCAGTGCACATCTGTCCTACTTGCCCGACAGGAAAAGAATGTCTCGGACACAACTAGAACATGATTGTTAACAACCACCCAGGCTAGTGTCTTTGAATCGACTCTTCAGGGTAACCAGAAGCCAGCTGAAAGGTAATGCTCTGGGTAAGACACCTCCGGTCGGCAGTGAGAAGCGCTGATGGAGAGAAGCACCTGCTACACAAGTCAGGCGGGACCGTGATTTACCCCCGCAGACGCCATCGCTGACACATCTCCGGCAACGAGGGAGACAACTTCCATCTCAGCGGAAGCAGCTGGGGCCTTCCAGGACTCATGACTCCATCGCTGATTCATCAAGTATCTCAGATGGGGAAGGGAGGCCAGGAGGGAGCACACTTGCTACTAGGGGGTGGAAAGTCAGCGCAGAGAGACGCAGAGGGGCTGTCCCCCCCCTCCACACCATGCCATTTATTCCACTGGTTCTAACATCACAGGGGAGACAGACAGTGCATCCAGACCCATTGGGCAATTAAAACTTCTCTAAACTATAAGAAGGGAGAGCATCCACCTCGCTCCCAGCCCCTCCCTGGGTCTTCCATGTCTCCCCGGGGCTCTGTCTCTCTGTAACCTATTCCCTTCTCATCCAGCCAGAAGAAGAATTCATTCCTCAACCCTCTGCTTCCTCTTGGCTGCCAAAAGAAACAATGCTGGCAGCCGGCCTTAATTACTACTCACATCTATGAATTAAAATATGGATTCTATCCTCACCACTCCAGAAACAGCCCTGTGGAGGGTGACGTTTACCCCCTCAGTGACCCACACCACGGAGGCATCATCACTCCTGCTCACGCCACCCTCTCTGGGCTAGTTGGTCCCAGTCTTCCTGGTACTCCGCCCTTTGGCTTCTAGAAGCCTCTCCAGGTCTCCGATTTCTCCTTCGGTCAGCTCTCCAGCCTGCACTGCCAGCTCCCCCTGTTCAGGGTGCTCCTAGCCGTCTGTGTTGTTTCGGTGGTTATCATCTCTCTTCACTCTCTACCTGTCCCTAGGCCATCCTCTTTTCCACATGGTTTCCATCCGTGATGCCAAACTACACCCAAATGTTCTTTGTAGCCACTGATCTAACTACTGTCTTTTTATACCTTCCACAGGGAGCTACGTGAATGACCCCACAGGTATCTCAAACTCAAGAGGCTCCACTACAGTTTTGTTACCCAAAACCAATCCTCTTCCTACATTTTCTTCCTTCATGATGTACCTGCTCTGTTCCAGGCTTAAGCTAAAAATCCGTTATCCTCACTCACCTGTGTCTTGTATCCCACCCCCCCCCCCATCAAATCAAATTCTACCCACAAACAGAGAATGCTGAAGCATCTGATTTGGACCCAGGCTCTGGACAATCCTCAGTCCATCGCTAATCACTGCACAGTGTCCCACCCCATCAGCTGCAGGGGTGAGGTACCTCTGGATTTCTGGCAAACAGTTATTAGCCACATTGCTATTGAGAAGTTTACTGCATGGCCACTCTATGGATCTTGATGTGTGACTGGATTTGGTTAAGGATTGACTGGTTGCTCTCCTTTACCACTGGGAGCAGAAAGGAGCTCCAGCCTGGATTGCAGGTTTTCTGATATTTATAACCACCCAGCCCCTGCACTTAACCATCACACGATGCTGTTCTAGGAGCTAGAGGGTTCTCTTCCTTCTCCTCACTGCCCCCACCCCTGAACAATGAAAGGGGACCCAGCTACTGAGCCAGAATGACCTGATTTGGACTAAATGCCAACATCAATAAAAGGAGGCAAGACACAATTTTGACTTGATTTGCGGGAATGCAGCTATTGTCTGGGACTTAAATAACTGACCCCCAGACTTTCAAATGGGCATGCCATTTGACAATGCATTAAGATCTTTAGCTCGTTCGAAGGACATACATTACATAGTGTAGTGAGAGTGCTCTGGGTGGGCAAGGGGAGAAGTGGGGGTCTTTGGTGTCCATTAATAACGAGAATTTCCTCCCTCTCACAGATGCCGCCCAGACCCAAGGGAAAATGAAGTGCAGGAATGCAGACACTGGGGGAGGGGCGGGGGGCAGTGGTGGAAGCCAAACTTCTCTGACTTGACTTCCTTTCTTCTTTTGCCAAGTATTTATCAAAAGAAAATGTACTGATGTTAAAACCGTAAACTGAAGGGGACATTCTTCCTGCATCGGCTTGCTAGCAGAAGAACCCTATTTGTTTCTCTAAGTCTTTGGCATCTTTACTTTCATTTTAGAAACTGCTCTGGGTTCGTATCCTCAGTCCTGTGTTGCAGGGAAGGCACCGATATCAGTGAGTTCACGGGGGCAGCTCTAGGTGGTGCAGTGAAACCAGGCTGGGGCCACTGAAGTTAGTGGAACTGGTGCAGGCAGCTCTGCCTCCCTCCCGTCCCCTCCCCAGCCCCCCTGCGTGGTTCAGAACCTGCATGCCTGATGGGAATGGGGACAAAACCCGAAACTCCTGTTGCCTCCATAGAAATACTGTCATGTTTTTACTTCCTCTACATGTCAATGCCACCAAATCAACAAGTCCAAAGCATTTGCTTTATTGTGAAGAGCAAAAGGTCATTTCATCATCGAGAACATGAAAAAGTAATTATAACTCTTGCAGAACATCCTCCGGATGTTAACCTCACAAGAAAAGGGTCCTTGTTTAGACGACATGGCCACATATTTGTTGTGTGTGTAATTACCACACGGCAGCAAAGCGGAAAACTCTTTTGACAATTTCACTTTGGAAACCCATGTACTGAGTAGCTGCCTAGATGCTAAATTCTGACCCCTGCACCATGATTCATGTACTCCAGGATCAACAACATGTGACCTCAGCACAGGGTTGAACACACACACACACACACACACACACACACACACACTCTCATGAATCCGAGTCTTGGACCCTCTGGGAACACTTCATTCACCACTGTGTGAGCTGGTCAATACTTGGCAGCAGCCAGACCCAGGAAAGAAGAGGAGAGGATAGGAGACCGGTTCTCGGGAAGGGCTGCTGACCAAGAGCGAGGCTGTCTACCTGTCTGCAAGGGGGCAGGAGACTTTGCAGGGCTCTGACTCTGCCTGTCAGGAAACACTTTTACTGGTTGCAGATGGAGACGGGGCAAGGCCAATGGATAGAGTGCCACTCTGCCACCCAGTCACACCCCAGCCCCAAGGTCAATATAATATCCATGTGGAACCCTACAAGACACTGAGTTTACAGCATGCTGATGGCCTTGTGGGCACTACCATCCCTGACTATGGACCACGCACTCCTAGGGCACTGCCCCTCTGGGAGGGTGGACGGCAGGCCTGGCTCTGGTCAAGTGTCTACGGTGATTCTCTACCAGGGAAAGTGGGCCGTGCTGACCACAGGGCTCTTCCAGCAGCTCAGTGTTACTCCAAACCTGTCAGTAAACATGAAGCTCTCCCCTTCTCCTCCCAACAAAATGAAGAGTCATCTCATTAGAGTGAAACACAACAGCAAACTGTGCATCCGGGAACTGACGTTTTTTACCTGGCTTTGTGTCTGGTGCTCCCTGACCCTGAGAAAATAGATTTAACTTTGTGAAGCCTCATTTGCAAAACAAATAGGACATCCCCCTGGTTTCTATGATTCTAAATGCAAAACACATAAACTGTAATTGTGTGTGTTTTTGTATCTACGTAAGTAAAGGGATAATGCATAAGTAAGTAAATGAATAAAAACAAATCTTCCATTAATATGTGGGTGGGGAGGGTAGCTGGGTTTAAAAAGGTAACAAATTAGCCAGACTAACAGATTACAATTATGCACAGCTTAATAACCAGAATGCATTCTGAGAAATGCATGCTTAGGTGATGTCATCATTTTGCCAGCATCACAGAGTGCACTTACCCAAATCTAGCTGGGATAGCTACTCTGCACCTAGGCTGCACGGCACAGCCTACTGCTCCTAGGCTACAAGCCTGTACAGCATGTTACCATACAAAACAGTCTGAGATGGAATCAGCAAAAGAGGAATGATGCACTCGAGAGACACTGTAAGC